GTAAACTCAGTCCAGTGGACACTTAACCACCTTCACGGCACCCAACTCTCAGCAGCAGCAAGCAATTGACTTCACCCTCTTGAAGCACGCGGATTTCGCGGTTGCTGTGATGTCTCACTCTCCTTTGGTCTCCTTGCCACTGTCTCCTCTCCTGATCTTCAAACTGTTGAGTGCCCAGGTCTGATTTGAAGGGTCAAAGGCACCTTATTTGAATTAGAAGACTGTCCAATCTCCTTGGTGGGCCACAAACATCTTATTTGCAGACTCCCACCCAATCATTTTGTGAGAGTTACCAGACCATGATTAGAAGGACCATGTAACAGCAATTCATTGCACTGCACATACTAAAGGTGTTCTTCCAGCTTTTTCAGTTTTAGGAAATATCTGAAATGTACATGCAAGCGTTTTTCAAGGTTTGCTTTCCTTTATCATGAAATGCACATGGACAGTGGGAGATTATAACAGTTTCAAGTCTCTGAACCCTGTAGATCCGTAGATCTTAACCCTGTCCTGAGAGAGCCTGACTTCTAGCTTCCTGCAGAGCTGCAGATACAGAACCCAAGGACAGATGGCTGCAGAAGAGGTGCTTCCTCCTCCAAACCTTCACATTCCAGCCCTGCCTGCAGCTCCTTCCCAACCACCTCACACTCCTCTCTGCTATCCCCAGCTCCAGCCCAGCTGCTGATTTCCTGGAAGAAGACCTTTGTGAAAGGAAGAGGAGTCACTATGCTGGAAAGGGATATGGGAGCACAGAGACTTCATAGGCAATGCCAGGGAGGGGATTGACCGGGGATAGTTATGGGACTCAGGGGTGACAGAGACTGCAATCCAACACTGTGTGTACTTGCACACATCACTGTTCCTCTCTGGACGTCAACCTCAGCTGTCCCAACTAGGAACAGAGGAGGGACATGCAGGAATGAAAGATCTCCAGAATGCTTTCCAAGAGATAAAACTCTCTTATTATGGCCTCACCAACTGCTGCCATGAAGACAAACAGCCTGCAGAAGACATGGAGCATCCAGTGGATGCTTCTCTGTCCTCACACCTCTCAACTCTTAGCATTCCCCCACAGTTGACACCTCCCACTGGAAACACACTGCTCTTGACTTCTATGACCTCTTATTTCTTGGTTTTCTTTAACCTCATGGGATCCTCTTTGTGGTCTTCTCTCCTACTTCCACTTTCTTTTTCAATCTTCTAGTAATTTGAGGGCTGAATCTTAAAGGAGTATATGAATAAATGAATCACCTTATACTTTCTGAAAACGGATATCTTCATTACTAACTTCATGAGGGATAACTTTGCCAATAAGCATCACCATCAGCTAAGCTACCATTACTGAACATTTTGATTAAGTATTCTATGAAAGAATCCTGATTAAAGGGAGGAAAATGCAGAACAGAATTTCATATTCTCCCCAACCCATCTGGAGCAAGGGAGAATGAAGAAAACCAAAGACACAAGGGAAAGATTAGTCGAAAGGACTAATGGACCACAACTACCACAGCCTCCACCAGGCTGAGTCCAGCACAACTAGATGGTGCTTGGCTATCACCACCAACTGCTCTGACAGAGATCAAAATAGAGGGTCCCAAACAGACCTGGAGAAAAATGTAGAACAAAATTCTATTATTTCTGAAACCAGCCATTCCCCTCATGGCACTCTCTAATTCTCTCTGGGTTCAATAACTCCTTGCAACTCTCACTGAACTCACAGAAACAACACATCTGCAATAACAACTTCAATAAAACAGAGAAATTTATAAACATATAAGGATATAAAAGAAGAAATGCAATAGGGTGAGATCCAAGAGGGGTTCCAGCATGCAGCCTCAACATCTCGAGGCCTGACTTGCCCTCCTGAGAACAGATGTTCACTCTAACCAATCAGGAAACTTTTCAAAACCAGGAAAAGTTCTATCACATCACTTGTCAGTCTCTGCCATCAGGGCTCTCCATCTTCACACTCTCTACCACTGGCCTCTCAGCCATCAACCTCTCTGCTCAGTCTTGGATCTGCAGCTCTTTCAGACAAATAGCCAAGCTCTTAGCCAGCAGCTTTATTAGCTGCAGCTCTCTCAGCTGCATCAGGCCTCTCCACTGTCTGGCCTCTCTGCCATTGGGCTCTCTGCCATCAGGCTCTCTGCCATCGGTGTCTCTGCTGTTAGCCTATCCTTGGTTGGCATCTCCATCATCTGAGCTGCTGCTCCCTCAGCAGTGGCTCTTCTCGGCTCAGCTCTCTCAACTAACTGGCCCAGCTCTTAATCGACATCTCTCTCAGCTCCAGTTCTCTCAGCAGCATCTCTCTTAGCTGCTCTCCACCATCAGTCTCTGCACCATCGGCCTCTTGCTTGTCACCCTCTCCACCATCTGAGCTCCTGCTCTCTCTGTAGTGGCTCTTCTCAGCTCAACTCTCAGCTAATTGGCCAAGCTCTTAGCTGGCAGCTTCAGGACTACTTCTATCATTTCTCTGCAGATCAGTTCAGCTCTGCCTGGCACTTATGTCAGTTACTAACTGCCCAGCTCACAGACAGTATAACAGCTCTCAACTCCACTCTGCTCTGCTCAGCTCTCTCAGCTCACTTTCCAGCTTTTGATTAGATAGGAAATTTAGGGGGTAGTGAGCTTGTTTATAAGGAAAAGAACAACTCAGAAAAGAAGGGTGAAAATTGTTACACAAGGGGAAGAATAATCAACGTCACTGCATTCTACATGTAGAAACTGTTGAATTGGTGTATGTTCTGCTATGGATATTCTCAACAACAAAAAAGAAAATGACTTATATTTTAAAAAAAATACTCCAAGGTAGATAACTGATTTTGAAATGAGCCTTTATTGTAGGTGTCTCTAGGCACCTGCTAGAAGCTAGAGAAAATCCCCACTGGAGAAACCCACTTTCAGCTTAAGCTTTAAAGAAGCCTCACATTCCCAAGGACAATTAGTGACTTAGAGTCAAAAATTTCTAAACAGACTGGGAAAAGGCCTACAGAAACAAAGTGACTGTAATTTCTTCGGATAATGTATCAATCAGATCCACAACAATAATCAATATATTTCATATGCTTAGTAAAATAAAAGAGGACGTTTCTATTTTTACGGGATTATTCTTTTGTTATTGATGTTTCCTAGGTTATTGATTTGAACATAAAATGGATTTTCAATTACTCATTATTATTTTGTTAAATGCAGTTAAGGTATTCAATTTTCTCTAATAATTAATTATGGCTACAATCTCAAAGGTTTTTATGGCAATTTATTGATGTATAATTTACATCAAATCTGTCTTGGAAGTACAGCCAGAATGCTCCTTAGAATTGAAGATGACGAGACTTCGTCTCACATATTTTCGACCTGTTATCAGGAGGGACCAGTCCCTGGAGAAGGACATCATGCTTGGTAAAGTGGAGCGTCAGCGAAAAAAAGGAAGACCCTCAACGAGATGGGTTGACACAGCAGCTGCAGGAAGGGGCTCAAGCATAACAACTATCATGAGGATGGCGCAGGGCCGGGCAGTGTTTCATTTTGTTGTACATAGGATGGCTAAGAGTTGGGACCAACTGGATGGCATCTAACAACAACAACAACAATTTACATAAAATAAAAATGTATCACTTCAGTGAGTTTGGCAAATGTGGACACCGGGTAACCAACATCACAGTCAAGATTAGACTATTTTCATCTTAAAATATGCCCTCGAGTCCGTTTACAGTAAATCTCCTTCTCTCGGGCACAGTCACAAGAAAACCCTGATCTTATTTTTATCATTCTGTTTTTTGCCTTTCTAGAATCTCATTAAATTGAAAACTTGTAGTACAGTGTTGTATATGTGGATTTTTCACACATAGAAACAATTTTAAGATCTGTTCATGTTGTTGACTGTATCAATAACAGTCTCTTTTCTTTCTTTTTTAAACTAATATCCCTCAGTATGGATATATGAAAAACTGTTTATTCATTAACCAGTTGATGGATATTTGAGTTGTTCCAGATTTGCAGCTATTATGAATAAACCATATTTCCCTGTACTTTTCTTTGTACTCATAACCACAGTATAACTAGACTTTAACAGTGTAGTTATTTGTTGAATGTTGGCCTCTGCGGATCTGAGCTCTGCAGGGCGGAGTGTGAATCTGTGTCTTCCGCAAACCATCTCCAGGGACTGGCATGATGACTAGCAGTGGTAAGAGCCCAGTAACGACATGTACACATGTGCGCTGAAGGAGTGGAGGGTGTCCCCACAGAGAGAGCTTCTGAGAAGGGAGATGACGTCTCCTTGGTCACACTCAGCCTGGGAGAGACCGACTCTGGAATGGCACCGTGTTCTATTAGCTGCTAAGGTAGAACTTTTCAGATGAAGAAATGTCAGGCAGACAGTGGCCAGGATCAGGGGAGACCTCATTTTTGTCTGAAATGTCTTCAAAGTGCCTGGTGCCATCTCAGCTCCAGCTCTGGTGAACCAAAAGCCAGGGCCCTGGGGAGAGACCATTCCCCTTCCCATAGGGCTGCTGATATGACTACCCATGACAGGTAGGTCCCTGCCTCCCAGTGGCCACACCCTGTGCATCAGTCTGTCCTGCTGAGCGCTGTGGTCTCAATCACCTGCATAGCTGGGGTCAGTATGAGGAGTTGCCATAACCCCCAACATCATGGTCCTACTCTGCCTAGGAGAGATGTTTAGAAGGGGAGGGGAAATATTACTCTGAAAGGGCTTTGCCCCATAGACAGAACCTGGACTATCGGAAGACTCTAGAGCTTCAGGAGGTTCAAGGGGAGGAGAGGATCTCCTCAGGATTCAGGGGACAAATTTCTCACCTGGATCTCTCTTCCAGGGCTGAGTCAGGGCCAGAGGATTCAAGTGCAGGCAGGGGAGTCCTCCCCAGTGTTCCCAGGTCCCATCTCCTCACTGGGCACAAGATGCCACCACCAGGCACCTGGATATGGAGAGCAGATTGGTGGAGAATCCTGGGAGGGTCTCAGAATCCCGGGAGGTCCTGAGGATGAGAGGTGAAGGAATGAAAGGGGGAAATTTGGGGACTTCAGCCACTGATTCCCTCCCAGGGACCTCCCCATATCACTGTCTGGGCTGAGTCAGGCTGAGTGATAACTTTTGGGGAGACAGTTACCATCTGCTGTCGGGTTCCCTGGAGACCGAGGAGCACCATCTGGATGGAGATGGAAGGCCATCACACTGGGACACTGAGAAACCACCGAGGCCCAGGAACAAGGCCATGTTCTCCATCCTATTCTTGGGAAAGGAGTCTGCCAGCCAGTATCACTGTTACCATCACAGCCACAGAGCCCTAGTGGCACAGTGGTTAAGAGCTTGGCTGCTAACCAGAAGATGGGCATTTTAAATCCTCGAGCTGCTTTTGGAAACACTATGGAACAGTGCTATTCTATCCTATGGGGTCACTATGAGTCAGAATTGACTCAACGGCAGTGATTTGGTTTTTTGGTTTTTATCGCAGCCATAGTGGTTGGTCAACACCAAGTGGCCCCAGACCTGGTGGTGTCAGGTGAGAGGACACTGGGGGCCCAGACACACAAAGTGTGCCTGCTCTCATGGGGTGTCTCCCCATTCACACTCCACTGCAGTGTGATAAATGGGGAGGTGTGAGCTCCCACTTAAAACAGCTGCCCTTTCTCTCCTAAGACCTGACTATAAACCCACCGTCTCAGCCCTGTCAAGCCCTGTAGTGACACCAGGAGGGAAGGTGACCCTCCAGTGTGGCTCATGGCAGGGAGATGACAGGTTCAATAAGTCTCAGGAAGAACACAAGTGCTCTTGGACCCTGGACTCACAGAAAAACCCCAGTGGGCAGTACCAGAACCTGTTCCTTGTAGGACCTGTGACCACCAGCCACAGGTGGACATTCAGATGCTACCACTGTTACAATGCCACCCCGTATGTGTGGTCACACCCCAGTGACACCCTGGAGGTCCTGGTCTCAGGTGGGAAAGTCATAGCCTTGCCCATGGACAACTTAAGGCCTGAGACAGGTTCCCAGGGGAGACCCAGGAAGGAAGGTGGGAGAGGGGAGATCATGGATCCTGTGACCAGACAGACACAATCATAAACACAGTGACACTGGAAATCCCAGCAGGGAGAGGGGAGGTGTTTGGGAGGAACCTGCCCTTTCAAGTCCACTGCTTGTCTTTCTCTCCCAGGGACATCCAGGAAGCCCTCCCTCCTAACCCAGCAGGGCCTCATCATGGCCTCCAGAGAAAGCCTGACCCTCAGTGTCACGCTGATGTCGGTTATGACAGGTTTGCTCTGTCCAAGGAGGAGAAACGTGACCTCCCTCAGTGCCTTGGCTGGAAGCCCCAGGCTGGGCTCTCTCAGGTCAACTCCCCACTGGGTGGTGTGAACCCTACCCACAGGGCTAGAACAAATGTTAAGGTGGATACACCCTCTCCCAAGAGTGGTCAGCCCCCAGTGACCCCCTGGACATCCTGGTCCCAGGTGAGAAGCCTCAGAAAATTTCATCCGAGTGCTCTGGCTCTGCATAGACTCTGCAGGGGGAGCCCCAGGTGTGATGGTCACAAGACAGGCAGAAAGATAGAGACAGGGCTGGGAGGGGGAAGATGAGGGACTCAGAGAAAACAGAGACACACTGAGACTGATGGGTCCTCAGAGTGAGGACCTGGTGAATTCCCAGGTCAGAACCGAGGTGGAAGTGGGGCCGCCCCTCACCTTTCTTCTTCTCTCTAGGAGAGCTACCTTGCACGCCCTCACTCTGGGCACAGCAAGGCCCCACTGTAGTCCCTGAAAAGAACGGGACCCTGCGGTGTGAGTCTCTGAGCCACCTGAACACTTTTCTTCTTTCCAAGGAGGGGTGAGCAAACTCCCCCACCCCAAGTCTGAGAACACAGCACCAAGCTATGCTGTACTAGGCCACCTTCACCATGAGCCCTGTGTCCTCAGACCATGGGGAGACCTACAGGTGCTATAATTAAAGCACCTTCCCTTACCTGTTATCAAAACCCAGTCACACCCTGGAGCTGGTGGTCTCAGGTGAAGAACCCCTGACCCTGTCCCCTCTGTGTCCTGATGGTCAGTTCATGGATGAATTTGGAAGGTATTATGCTGAGTGAAATTAGTCAGTCACAAAAGGAAAAATATTGTATGAGACCACTATTGTAAGAACAAAGAAAAGTTTAAACACAGAAAAAAAGCATTATTTTATGATGTCTTAGTTATCTAGTGCTGCTATAACAAAAATAATACAAGTGGATGGTTTTAACAGAGAGAAATTGATTCTCTCACAGTCTAGGAGGAGAGAAGTCTGAATTCAGGGTGCCAGCTGCAGGGGAAGGCTTTCTCTCTCTCTTGGCTCTAGAGGAAGGTCTTGTCATCAGTCTTCCTCTGGTCAAGGAGATTCTCAGCACAGGGATCCCGAGTCCAAAGGACGCACTAAACTCCCTGTGCTTCTTTCTTAGTAGTATGAGGCCCCCATGTCTCTGCTCCCTTCTCTCTTTTATATCTCAAAAGAGACTGGCTGAAGACACAATCTTGTAGATTGAGTCCCGCCTCATTAACGTAACTGCCACTAATCCCCTCTCATTAACATCCTAGAGATAGGATTTACAACACATAGGAAAATCACATCAGATGACAAAATGGTGGACAATCACACAATACTGAGAATCATGGCCTAGCCAAATTGATACACATATTTTTCACGTAAAAACACCAAACTTAATGGTCTGACAGAGCCTGGAGAAACCCCCAAAACATTGGACCTGGGATGCACTGTTAACCCAGAATTGAAACCATTCCCGAAGCCCATTCTTCCGACAAAGATTAAAAGGACTACAAAACAAAAAATAATACAGGTGAGGAATGTGCTTCTTAGTTCAACCAGGTATACGAGACCAAATGGCAGCTCCTGTCCAAAAGCAGGATGAGAAGGCAGAAAGGGACAGGAACTGGTCAAATGGACACAGGGAACCTGGGGTGGAAAAGGAGAGTATGCTGTCACATTGTGGGGATTGCAACTAATGTCACAAAACAATATGTGTATATATTTTTGTATGAGAAATTAACTTGAGCTGTAAACTGTCACCTAAAGCACAATAAAAAAAAAATCATCTTAATAGATGCTTTGAAGACCAGTAGATCTTAATAACAAGCTTTTGATAAAATACACCACCAGTTCCTGATGAAAACTAAAACTTACCAAAAATAAAAGAGAATTTCCTATAATTTATCAAAGTATATTTTCAAATCTACAACCAGCATCATTTTCAAAGGTGAAAACTTGAAGTCTTTCCCCCTGTGATTGAGAATGAGACAAGGATGTTCACTATGACCATTCTATTCATCATGGCACTGGAGGTACCAACCAATTAAATGAAGCAAAAAAAAAAAAGCTAAGCAGTGAAATGGATGGGATAAAACTTTACTGTAGATTACACAATTGTGTGCTTAGAAAATCCAAAATAATATAAAGATTTATTATTCAAATTTTAAAAAGGAACTTTCCAATGTCACTGGGTCCATGCTACTTAAAAAAAAAAACAATTGCACTTCGGACTTCCATTTCTGGACCAAGATGAAATAGATGCTTGTCTCCCTGTCTTAGTCATCTAGTGCTGCTATAACAGAAATACCACAAGTGGATGGTTTTAACAAAGAGAAGTTTATTTCCTCACACTCAAAGTAGGCTAAAAGTCCAAATTCTGGGCGTCAGCTCCAGGGGAAGGCTTTCTCTCTCTGTTGGCCTTCGCGTAAGTGTTCCCCTGGACAAGGAGCTTCTCTGCACAGGGACCCCTGGGTTCAAAGGACATGCTCTACTTCTGGCACTGCTTTCTTGGTGGTATGAGGTCCCCAGTTCTCTGCTTGCTTCCCTTTCATCTCTTGAGATATAAAAGGTGGTGCAGGCCACACCCCAGGGAAACTCCCTTTACGTTGGATCAGGGATGTGACCTGGGTAAAGGTGGTGCTACTATCCCACCCTAATCCTCTTTAACATAAAATTACAATCACAAAATGGAGGCCAACCACACAATTCTGGGAATCATGGCCCAGCCAAATTGATACACACATTTTTTGGGGGACATAATTCAAACCATGACACTCCCTATTACTTGACTTTAGCCCAGTGAGACTGATTTTTACCTCTGACTGGCAGAACTGTAAGATAATGAAGTTGGGTTGTTTTAAAGCACTAAGATTGTGGTAATTTGTCACAACAGCAAGAGAAAACTAATAACAGGCACTCAAGCTTTTTTCTGTTTTATTTTGTATATACTATTTATATGCTATTAGAATAGTATTTTTTGCATCCTCTTACACTTAGGAAACCCTGGTGGCAAAGTGGTTATAGAACTATGGCTGCTAACCAAAAGGTCAGCAGTTCAAATCCACCAGGTGCTCCTTCGAAACCCTATGGGGCAGTTCTACTGTGTCCTGCAGGGTCGCTATGAGTCAGAATCAACTGGATGGTAACGGGTTTGGTTTTGGCTGGTTTTACTTTGAACCTATTAACATCATTATATTTAAATTAATTTCTTGCAGACTGCATATAGTTACATTTTCTATTTTTTGTTTTTGTTTTGTTTGTAATTTTACTGTCTGTTTTTAATTGTTGTGTTTAGACCATTTATTTGTAATTGCTGATAAGGTTGTGTTTAGTTTTGCAATTTTACCATTTGTCTTGTTTGTTTTGGGTTGTTCCTGTATTTTTTGTTCTGTTTTTCATTTTCTGTTTTCTTTTGAAAATTTTTTAGTATTCCATTTTATCAATTGATGTTTTCACTATAACTCTTTGTATACTACCTGAGTAGCTATTCTAGACATTATAATTTACATACTTAACTTTACAAAGGTCCCTAGGTGGTGCAAACTATTTACGCTCAACTGCTAACCTAAACGTTGCTGGTTCCAACCCACCCTGCAGTAGCACAGAAGAAAGGCCTGGAGATCTGCTTTCACTAAGATTACCCTCAGGAAAACCTTATGGAGTAGTTCTACTCTGTAATACATGGGGGTGCCATGAGTCGGAATGGACTCTACAGCAACTGGTTGCTTTTTGTTTGTTTTTAACTTTACAAGTCTACTTAGAGTTAATATTTTACCTCTTCAAGTGAAATGTAGAAACCATGTGTCATAGATTGAATTGTGTCCCCCAAAAATATCTGTCAACTTGGCTGGGTCATGATTGCCAGTATTGTATGATTGTGTACCATTTGTAATCTTGTGTGACTGACTTCCTTATGTGTTGTAAACTCTCTCACTATGATGTAATAAAATGGATTAGGGACAGTTATACTGATGAGGTCTACAAGATTAGATAGTGTGTTAAGCCTATCTCTTTTCAGATATAAAAGACAGAAGTGAGCAGAGACACATGGGAACCTCATACCACCAAGAAAGCAAGTGCCAGGAGCAGAGCACATCCTTTGGACCTGAGGTTCCTGCCATGAGATGCTCTCAGACCAAGGGAAGACTGATGCATCACAGGACCTTCCTCCAGAGTCGACAGAGACAAAAAGTGTTCCCCTGGAGCAGATGCCTTCAATTTAGACTTGTAACATACTAGACTGTGAGAGAATAAATTTCCCTTTGTTAAAAGCCATCCACTTGTGGTACTTCTGTTAAAGCCGTACTAGATGACTAAGACACCATGCAACCATGTAGGTCCTTTTACCCTCACCCCTTTACGTTATAGTGGTTGTAGGTATTAAATCTACACATACAGAAAACCCCACTAGACAATGTTACAATTTTTGCTTTCAACAGTCATACAAATTTTAAAGAACTTAAAAAGAGAAAAATATTCCATTATATTTATCTAGTTATTTACCATTAGTTCTTGAATTCCTCTGGAATTATTGCTCTTCTGCCTGAAGAACTTCCCTTAGCATTTCTTTTAAAGCAGGTCTGCTGGCAACAAATTCTCTTAGTTTCCCTTCTTCGAAGAATGACTTTGTTTTGCTATCATTCCTACTGAATATTTTTGCTGGATAGAGAATTCTTTTAAATTCTTTAAAATTATTGTTTCCAATCAAGGTCGAGCAGGGAGAGTGTTGACATGTCGTGGGGTTATTAACCAATCTCATAAAACAATATGTGTACTAACTGTTTAATGAGAAACTATTTGTTCTGTAAACCTTAAACTAAGGTACAATAAAAAAAATTAATAAATAAATAAAATTATTGTTTCCCTGTCTTCTGACCATCATGGTTTCTGATGAGAAATCTGTAGTAATTCAAATCATTGGTCTTCCATATGTAATGTGGAATTTTTCTCTGGCTGCTTTCAATATTTTGTTGTAGTAAAATATACACAACAAAAAATATACCATTTTCACCGTTTTGAAGTGTACTGTTCAGTGGCATGTAGTACATTCAAGATAGTGTGCAACCATCATTAATATCTAGCTCCAGAATATTTGTCTCCCCAAAAAGAAATTCCATAACCATTAATCAGTCATCCCCCACTCCCTCGTTTCTCCAAGCCTGAGCAACCGCTAATCTGCTTTCTGTCTCTATAGATTTGCCAGTTCTGGATATTTTAGATAAACAGAATCATACAATATGTCATTTTTGTGTCTGGATTCTTTCCTTTAGCATAATGTTTGCAAGGTTCATTCATATTGTAGCATGTGTCAGTATTTCAGTCTTTCTTATTTTTTAATTGCGGTAAAATTCATCGTTTTAACCATTTTAAAGTGTACAATTCAGTGGCATTTAGTGCATTCCCAGTGTTGTGTAATCATCACCTCTATCTACATCCAAAATATTTTGGTCACTCCAAAGGATATCCCAAACCATTAAGCAGTCACTGCCTATTCTCACCTGCCCCCAGCCTCTGGAAACCAATAATCTGTTTTCTGTCTCTGTAGAATTGTCTACTATGGCTATTTCATATAAATGAAATCACACAGTATGCAATCATTTGTGTCTGGCTTCATTCACTTAGCATAATACATTCAAGCTTCATCTAGGCTGTAGTATCAGTAGTAGTTCATTCCTTTTTATGGCTGAATAATATTCCATGGTATGGATAAACTACATTTTGTTTATCTATTCATTAGCTGATGGACATTTGGGTTGTTAGGCTATTGTGAATAGTGCTGCTATAAACATTCTTGTACACACTGCTGCTTGAACCACCCGTTTTTAATTCTTTGGAGTACCTACCTAGGAATGAAAATGCTGGGTCATATGGTAATTCTATGTTTAACTTTTTGAGGAACCACCAAACTGTTCCACAAAAGCTACACCATTTTACATTCCCACCAGCACTAGTTTGATTATCATTATGACGTGTTTTACATGGCTTTTTTTAAAAGCATATTCTATATTGCATTTGCTGAGTATCTTGAATGAGTAAATTCATGCCTTTCAACAAATCTGTAAAATGTTCAGCTCTTTTTTTCTTCAAGATTTTTTTTTCATTGATGTCTTCCTCCCTTTACTGGGATGCCAATGATCTAAGTTGTCCCACAGGTCCCCACGGCTCTGTTTAATTTTTAAAATGTTTTTCTCTTTCTGTTGCTCACATTGTATAATTTGTTTGATCTGTCTTCAAGTTGTTGACTCTCCTTTGTCATCTTCATTCTGCCATTAAGTATCCAGTGATTTTTTTTTATTTCAGTTATTGCATTTTTATCTTCAGTTCTAAAATTCCCATTTGTTTCTTTTTTAATCCTTAATAGTCGGATCTTTATTAAAAGTCTCATCTGCTAACTTAGTATCTTCCACCAACTCGGGGAGCAGAAATCATTTGTTTCTTTTTTATAGTTTACATTTCGATGCTGAGCACTTCTACCTTTCCATACATTTCAAGAGTCTTTACCTTTGTTTCATGGTGCTGATTACAAAATCTGCGTTAAAGTCTCAGTCAACTCAAAGTTGATTGTCTTCTCCTTTGGTTGTTGAGTTTTTTCTTGATTCTTTGTATGTCGAGGAATTTTTTACTGTATTCTGTACAACTTGAACACTATAAGACATTGGGTGTTAAAATCTTCTGGAGAAAGTGGAGTTTTATTTGTTGATTGATTGGTGTTTTTGATTGTTTCAACAGGTTATCAATCTAGTTACATTTTCACTGCAACTTCCAACTTACCTCCGGGTGAGGTAGTCTCAGTATCAGTTCAATTTTCCAAGCCCATTCTACGCTATTTGTCTTCTTTTATTACTAGAAAACCCTCTGTCAATATATCTGATCACTGCCATTTTGTCATATTCTCATTCATCTCCTCTTAAAACTTACAAAAGATGCATTTTGGGACCTAATTATTCTTCATGTCTTAAATTTTATGTTTTTTGGTTTCTATTTTTCTACTTGTCTTTGCTACATTCTGGGATATTTCCTGAGTTTTGTTTTCCAGTTATCTAAATTGTTCATCAGCTTTGTCCTGTCTATTATGGAATTAAACTTTTGAGTCTTTTTGTTCAATGACTGAGTTTTTATCTATAAAACTTCCCTAACAACTACTTTTTCTCTAACAATCTCCCTTTCTATCGTGGATGCCACTCCCTCCTTTAACTGTTTGATTTAAAGCATGCTTATTTTTAAATCTCTTCCCAATTTTCTCTATTATCTCTATTGTCTTGAGAAATCCCAGTTATTGAGCTGATAAGTCTATTTTTCACGATACAGTTTGAGCTCATACACTTTGTCATTTTGCCATTGTGGTAATCATTCACACAAGTTATAATCCATAGTCTCCTGGGCTATGAAGCCCCAAATAGGTGACTGTGCTGAAGTTGCTTCTGACTCATGGTTTGTATGTGTTCCAGACTCAATGTTCTATTCAGGGTTCTGGCAATGCATACATTTTTCAAAACTGTCCCCACACCATATGTGGAATAGACACTGATAACTGCACATACTGAAGTGAATATTTTTCACCCATAATCTAGGGAAGGCAGCTGAATTCTGGCCATGACTCTAGAACAGTGAGCAGAGAAATTACAATCCTTATTAATAAACTGGCAGTAGGTTCACAGATTCCAGCTTCAAACCAGGAGTCCACTATCACCTCTGGGGCTTCACCTCCTATCTCCAATATAGACATAGTAAACCAGGTCCTGTGACCCATTCCCTGCTACCACACCACAAGACTACCCAGCACTGCCCCTGCTTAATTCAAAGAATTCATTCTGCTTTTCTGGCCATTTCATCTCTCTCATTTGTCTGTGGGTACATAATTTAAAAACAATTATCCACCATTCCTTGTGTTTGGAGCAGAAGTGGGCAGTGTGGTATGACTTCAATAAGCCTCTTGATGTGAAGTTTGATACCATGATCATCTCAGCAGCCACATGTCTTCATCTGGGCCATGAGACCACACCAGACTGTGCTCCTTCCATATCTCAAGTCCCACTGTTTCCTCCCAACAACCCTGAAAGATGTCATTATCACCTTACTATGACGAGGAAAATGAGATTCAGGAAAGGGAAGTCGGCTGCTCAAGACTGACAGTAAATATGACAGCTACGTCTTCAGTTAATCTCTCCGAAGTTGCCTCCAACCAGTGCTCTTAGGCAGTTCCTAAAGAAAGAACCCACAGTATAAGATGGACAGTTCTTTTCTGGGAAGAAAGAGGTACTGATGAGGCAGAAATAATTCAGAGGTTTTGAAGGAGGGTATGGAAGAGAAAGAAGCTGTTACTAACAGAAATAGGGAAGTCAGTAGGGGAAAGGGTTTGGGAGAAAGAAAATCTGCCATCCCAGACCAGGAAGAAAAGTTGTACTTTCTTCTTGGAAACAATGAACAGTCTTATAATCATCTCCCCATAGCGTCTTCTCCACCTGGAGTCATCCACTCAGTGATGGTCCCACTGCCTTCTACAGTCAATCAAGAAAGACAGCGGGATAGCTCTCAGTTCTTTACTCTCTTCCACTTCACATTCAAACATCAAATCTAAATAGTTCTGCCCCCTGAACCTTCTTAGCCATGTCCCTGAGTCCTTCACCACATTCCATGCTCAGTTGAAGATGAAGACATCTTGGCCTGTACCGTCACAAAGCCTCCTTCCTGCTCCCAGTCTCTCAGTTTCCCCACTCCCCACTCCAGTACATTCTTCTCACTGCAGCTGCAGAGAGCTCTTCTAACAACCCTACCTGGCTCTTCCCCTCCCTGGTTCAATTGTTTCACAAGTTTCCATCTTCCTCAAAATAAGATCCAAGTACTCCATCTGACATTAAAACTGTTGATAGTCAGGACTGAGATAAAACTCTCCAGCCCCAGCAAACACAGCTCCACTCTCCCCAAACAAAAACCCCACTGCCACTGGGTTGTTTTTTGACTCATAAAGACCCTACAAGACAAAGTAGCACTTCCCCATAGGGTTTCCAAGGAGCGGCTGGCGGATTCGAAGTGCTGACCTTTTGGTTAGCAGTCAAACGCTTAACTGCTGTGCCACCAGGGCCCCCTCCCCAGCCAAAGTCATCACAGTTAAACACACATACATATACAAACACGCACACACTGAACTATTTAACAGTTTTGCACCTTTTCCTGGGCAGCTCCTTCAACCACTTTGAACATAGCAAACTTCTTTCCAACCTCCCACACTAGGATAAAGACCAAGAAACATTCTTATCTCATTACACTCAAGTGTAAATTATATCTGTGATAAACTGTGTGTAAGGGTTACATAAGAAATCCACATAAATCATGTAGAATACTGATTGTACTTCAGCCGGGGCTTAAATAAATGTTGGAGTTTTATTAGCAGTAGTAGTAGAACCTTCCTACATTCCATTCTCTGCATAGTGATGGTCTTCCTAAAACAGATTTTTGTCCATATTGTCCCTTGCTTAAAACTTCCCACTGCCTTAAAGATAAAATCCAAAATACTTGCATCGTGCACAAAACCCTGTGTGACCAGTGTCCAGTGTCCCCCAACGGCTCTCAGTTCTTACAACAGCCCAAGCTCTTTCTCGTGAAGGATGTCCTCCCCTCACCTCTCTTGGTGCTAATCCCTAATGGCATCATCTCTCCCTCCTCCACGTCTTCCTCACTCTCATGACCCAGGTTGCTTGATGTCCACCTGTTAGTCTCATTGTCCCTTACTTTGCTCCTTTTCTACAGCTTGGCAAAACTGTAGCTAAACTATCCATTGTCAAAATATTTCAATGTCTGTCTTGTGTTCATCTGAGCTCCATGAATCCAGGAAGGAATCCGTGTGCTTCCTCAACAAGTCTCTAGTGCCTGCCTCCATGGATGGACACGGTAAATGCTCAATAAATACTTGATTGCCTGGCTGATGGAAGGAAGGAAGGAAGGAAGAAGATTTGCATTTATGGGGGCTTAAAAAAGGAAAGGGACTTGCTCCAGTTCATCCAATCTCTGCAAAAGGCAGACTCAGGATTGGAACTCAGATTTGGTCTGAAAGGTTCCCAGAGAGTCTGCTTTGTCCTCAGCCCCAACATCTGGGGAGAGCAGAGCCAGACCACAGACCGGGGGTGTTCCCCTTCCTGTGAGGCCACTGATGAGGAAACTGCGTGACATGTAACACAGGGCCTAGGACTTGTCACAATCTGTGTGCGTCTATCCTGCCAGGCTCTGTGGTCATTGCAGTTCCTCTGCAGTGCTGGAAACCATGCAAGGCAGTGCCACCACCCTGACCCTCACTGCCCTTCTGTGTCTTGGTAAGCTTTGGGAAAAAGCGTAGGGATGAGGACTCTCTCCTCACACAGAAGTCCTGGTCCCTTGGGAGACCCCAGGGACTCAGGAAGCTCAAGGGGAAGCTGAGCCTTTGAGGGGACGAATGTTATCAGTTCCAGTCTGACCCCAGTGCTCAGGGGCCCAGACCACACATGATGCTTCTGTGTGTGGGTGTGAGGACAAGCTTCTCACAGGGACCTCTCTCCCAGGGCTGTGCCGGGGTCAACGGAACCAGGTACATACAGGTGAGTCCTCCCCAGACCTCCCAGGTCCAACCTCTGGTCAACACAGTGAACACCTCTGAGCAGCATGGGGCGGGGGGAGCACAGACGGTCGGAGCTGATAGTGACTGGTGTGGGAGGAGCATCAAAGTGAAAGCTGGGGGAGTTGGAGGGGAGAGGAACCCCTTGGAACTCCGGGTCTCATTCCTTTCCAGGGACCCTCTCCAAACCCTCCATCTGGGCTACTCCAGCCTCTATCATCACCAAGGGGAGCTCTGTGACCATCTGGTGTCAGGGGTCTCTGCAGGCTGGAATCTGTCGTCTTTATAGAGACGGAGACCCTCAGTACTGGGATGAACACAGCCTATGGAATTCCAGGGACTTGTGCAGTTTCTCCATCAAATCCATGGATGTACACTATGCTGGGCAGTTCTGGTGTGCATATAACAGGTGGAGTGGCTGGTGGAGTGGCTGGTCAGAGAGGAGTGACCCCCTGCTCCTTGTGATGACAGGTAAGAAGGAGTAATCAAGTATCCCCCTTCACTTGACCTCCTCCTCACAGGCAGAAGGGAATGCAATGTGGCATCAGGGGAAGGGGAATCGCACAGACTACACCTGTGAGGTACTGTGGGGTGACTGTACCCTCCTTTAACACAACTTCCTCCTTCTCTCTCAGGAGCCTACAGCAAACCCTCCCTCTCAGCCCATCCAAGCCCTCTGGTGACTTCAGGAGGGAAAGCGTCCCTCATGTGTAGCTCAAACGACACAATGGACACCTTCCATCTGCTCAAGGAGAGAGGAGCCAGCCCTCCTCAACACAGGAAATCCCAGTTCTCTCCTGGGACGCACCACGCCACCTTTCCTGTGAACCCTGTGAGCACCTCCCATGGGGGCACCTACAGATGCTATGGTTCATCCCGCTCCTCCCCCCAAGTGTGGTCACACCCCAGTGACCCTCTGGATCTCAAGGTCACAGGTGAGGGAGCCCCCGCCCAACCCCATCTCTTGGTGGGGGCTCCAAAATGACAAATCTAGGCCACGTGCCCAGGGGAGCCCTGGTGGTGGGGGGGTGATTGGTGACAGTGGTCTCCTGGGGGCAGAATCACAGAGAGGAGTATGAAGAAAACCAGTGTGCACTCACTGCAGCCCCATGGGCAGTGGGGATGTGTGTTTCCTTTAATGTCACTGTCTCCTAGTCTCCAGGAGGGGACAGAAAGCCCTCCCTCTCAGCCCAGCCAGGCTCACTGGTGCTGTCTGGAGCCAGCCGATCCTGCAGTGTTGCTCAGAGGACAGCTATGACAGGTTCGATCTGACCAACGATGAGTAGCTCTCACCTCCCCCTGCCCCCCCGCCCAGCACCTTGACAGCACAGTCCCAACTTCACCCTAGGCCATGTGAACCACATCCACAGGGACCGGTACAGGCTATGGTGCATACAAACACTTCTCTGGGTGGTTGGCCCCCAGTGATCCCTGTACATCCTGGTGGCAGATGTGAACCCCTGCCCAGCCCCACATCCAGACTGTCTGCTGAGGTGGGGGCCCAGGGTCTCCTCTGGTGGACACAGGGTCAAGGGAGACAGAGCTGAAATGGGGGCTTTCATCCAAGGAGGGGAATGATAAAAGGAGAGTGAGAGACACAGGGATGAGAGAGACCATCACAGATAAACTGAGAGGTGCAGAAAAAGGGGTCACAGAGGGAAAGTCCCTCAAGAGGAGATGGTGGTCAGCTCAAAGGAGGTGGGGACTGGATGGCTCCCTGTACACTATGGCCTCTTTCACTAACAGGAACCTATGAGAAACCCTCCCTCTCAGCCCATCCGGGCCCCTCAGTGACCTCGGGAGAAAGCGTCACCCTGCAGTGTTGCTCAGACGACTCATTTGATACATTCCATCTGTTCAAGGAGGGCTTCACTGCCCCTCCCCAGCGCCTTCATTGGCAGAACAACACAGGGCCCTTTCAGGCCAACTTCACCATGAGCCCTGTGACCTCAGCTCATGGGGGGACCTACAGGTGCTACAGCTCACACAGCACATCTCCCTACCTGTTGTCACAACCCAGTGACCCCCTGGAGCTGGTGGTCTCAGGTGAGGAACCCCTGACCCTGTCCCCTCAGTGTTCTGATGGTCAGTTCAGGGCCCTGTCCCCAGGGGAGCTCCAGGCTGAGATGGGAGGGAAGGGTCTCTGAATGAGGGCCACCCAGAGGGGATCCACCCCTCAGAAGGATGGAAAAAGACAGGGCAACTCCCATCCTGCCTCATCCTCAATCCTCAACCCTGAGGCCCAGATATGTTCCTGGTGAGTGGAGGGAGGCTGGGAGGATCAAAGCTGACCAAGAGGAAAGGCCAGAGGCACCCCAACTCTCATTGCCCCTGAATCTCTAATCCTTGTAGCCTCTCACCCAGACACAAAATCAAGAGGTGGTGAGTAACAGAGGCCTCATTCCCCAAGGGACCACAGACTCACCCTCTCAGCTGACAGAACTTTTCCTTCATCTCTCCAGCATGGCTTGTGTCCTGGGGGCTTGGGAGATGGGCAGAGATGAGGATGGTGATCCTAGGCTCCCAGGGGTTCTGGGGCTGGGGCCTGATAAGGAGTGGGGCGGTCACAACGGAGGGAGATGTGGGGTCCAGCCTGAAGGATGAGCAGTGGGCTAAAGCCTCTCACCCTGTCCTGCTCCCCAGGAGGCTCCAAAGATCAGCGCCAAACCCCCAGGGAATCAGACCCACTGACGGGTAAGTAAGGGTCTCTTGTTTGGAAGGAACTGACTTCTGTGTTGGCTCATGCACTTCTGGAGATGGTGACCTTAGAAAAGGCTCCTCCCTTTTTCTCTCTGGGATCGTTATGGCCACTTGAAAAGGGGAAGCAGCCTAGCTGTGACACAATGTAGGGGAGGGGTAGGGCAATGACAAGGGCATCTGTGCTCTTCTACAAATTGAGGGGAGCTCCCGCTTCCCAGAAGCCGCTGTGGTGGCAGAGAAAAAGCAGGGCTTGGAAGTCGCACACCACCACTCCCACCCCCACCACCACCCCCTACCCCTGACCCCACATCCCCACCCCAGGTTCAAATCCTGGCTCTGCCACCTCCCAGCTGTGGGGCCTCGGGCAAGTTAAATTCCCTCTCTGAGTCTCAGCAGTCACTGCCTGTAGAAGAGGCCTCCCACCATCTTCCCCAGGGCTACTGTCAGATACAGGGGAATCACGACAGTGAACGTCCTGGGCCTGGGGCCTGGCTTGACACCGTGCTCAGTACAGGGTAGAGTCCCCGCCCTCTACCTGCTCCCTCCTCCTAAATACACAGGCCCCAAGTCCAGGCAGGCCCTACATGGGGGTGTCAGGGCCCTGCAGAGTTGGGCATGTAGCTAGGCTGGGCTAGGGATGGGTGGGGACTGGGGTTTGGTGGGCAGGTCTCTCTTCTGGTGTTCCGCCTTGGGGGAAGGGAAGGTAGAGGGGCAGCAATGGAAAAAAAGCAAAAGGGGATTCAGAGACCCCCCCCCCAATCCTAGCCCTGCCGCTTCCTGGCTGGGTGACCTGGTGCACATAATTTACCTCTCTGAGCCTCAGTTTCCTTGTCTATAAAATGGGCAGGGTAGGGTGGCAATCCAAGTTTCATGGTTGTTGTGAGGGTCAGAGGTGATGAATGCAAAGGTCCCAGCATGTGCTGCCATGCAGAAGGTGCTCAGAAAAAGGGCATCGCTGACTTATTTATGACATCACTCATGCCCAAGGTCTCCAAGAGTACCTGAAAGTTCTGATTGGAGTCTTGGTGGCCTTTATTCTTCTTGTCCTCCTCTTCCTCCTCCTCTTCCTCTTCATCAGACACCAACGCCATGGAAAACACAGTAAGTGACATGAGTAGGGAATGGGATGATGTGGCCACATGAGATGGTGGGTTCCTGGTGGGCAGACCAAGGATGCACGGAGGGCAACAGCCAAGGAGCCCAAAGAGATGAGAGAAGGGCAGCTTAGAAAGATTCCTTCAGCATTTCACAATCTGAAAATCTAGAATGAAGCAATTAAAAGTGAGCATATAGTCAGGAACATAATAGAGGAATTCTGATAAAAAGGGAGAAAAATGTGGAACAGATTTCAAATTCTTAAAGAATCCAGACCTATTAAGGCTGGAGGAGTCCCTGGGACTGTAGCCCTGAGTTGCTTTTCAAACCTTGAAGTGAAAATATCCCCTGAAGTCACCTTTAGACTAAGTAATATCTTAGACCAAAGAGTAAAGATTGTCATTTGAGTATTGCATTACTTAAAAAAAAAAAAATTATCTATATAAAACCAAAAAGTCAACAGGTATTTTAAATCATAGATGAGAAGGTTGGGGAGGCAGGGAGATTAAGTAAACGGAAGTGAAACAACTAGAACAGAAATAATGATAATATTGACACTATGTGAAGCATGTAACCAATGTCACTAACCATTATGTTTAGAAACTGTGGAATGGGAACAGGTTTTGATGTGTACTATTTTCACCAAAAATAAAATTAACAAGAAAAAAAAAAAGTGAGCATACATGTAAATATTTCCTGTATCCTTTTGGCTTTTCAAGTTTCACTTTGAGACACAAATACAAGTTTTGTTTTTAGTGTTTAGAACTGTTTTCTCTTGAATTCTGTATGGAGAAAGGAGCAGGGTTGTTATCTTTCCAGCTGTTAAATCCTCTGTGGATCTGAAAGCAGCCCTAGGGGAGGGCTCTAGGGTGGGTTGGAGGATGATTTCCAACTTCCTGCAGGGACAGCAGTGTCAGAGCCCAAGGACAGAGGCCTGCCGAAGGGGTAAGACTTCCCCAAAGACCCCGGGGGGCCTCCCACCCTGCCCACAGCTCCCCCTCCACCACCCAACATTCCTCTCTCCTTCTCCAGCTCCAGCCCAGCCACCACGGACCAGGAGGAGAACTTGTGTGAGGGGGAGAGGAGAGGCCACCCTGGGGGTTGGAGATGGGAGGCCCCCAGAATGTTGGTGTGCAATGGGCGTAGGGAGGGTAACTGGAAATAGTCCTGGGCCTGGAGGTAAAACAGCGTAAAGCTGATACTGCGTGGCCCAGGCCACGTCACCGACCCTCTCTGGGCCTCAATCTCCCCATCTAGGAGCGGGAGAGGCGGTGTGAGATCTCAGGGAATCTTGCCAAGAAACAAGTTCCCCTTGTTCTGTCCCTACCAGATGCTGCTGTGATAGACAAACAGCCTGAAGAAGAAATGGAGCTGGACAGTCAGGTGAGTCACCTCTGGCCATGATCGCACTCCGACAACCTTCTTGTCCATAAACTCATTCCAGTGGACACTTGTCCACCCTTACAGCACCTACCTCAGCAGCAACAGGCAGTTGGCCTCTCCCCTCTTGAAGCACACTGCTCTGCCACTGTCTCCTCTCCTGACTCTCGAATTGTTGTGCGCCCAAGTCTGACTGGCAGGGTCAAAGGCTGTTGTTCTTGTGTGCCTTCTAGTCAATCCCAACTCATAGCAACCCTATAGGACAGAGAAGTGCTCCATAGAGTTTCAGTAGCAGATGACCAGGTCTTTCTCCCACGTAGCGGCTGGTGAGTTCGAACTGCCGATCTTTTCGTTAGCAGCAGAGTGCTTAACCCTTGTCCCACCAGGGTTCCTTTTCATCTAGTGGGGATGAAAAGCCAAGTCTTGGGCTTATGGAGAGGTCAGAGGGAGTGCCTTTTTAAATTCCCACTACAGAGTTCTATGGTCTAGCTCAGCCTCTGCTTTCTGTGTATTCTCTTTTCCCCAGCCCCATGGCTGTGGGAAACGCAGTAACATATCTCAACTAGAACACGGGTGATGATTGACTCCCATACAGCATAGCAGGCTCACCCCGCCATCCCACTCACCTCACTGTAGGTCTGAGTCTAACTCACTTGTAGCAGTACAGTGGGGTTTCACTGTTCCTCTCTACCTGGATGGCTCCACACCCAACTCCTACTTCCAGTCCTGACCTCCCCTGAGCACCATATTCAAGTATCCAGCTCCCCATCTGCCAGCTCTCTGTGGTCACATGACAGTCATTTCAACTTCACATCCCTCCTGCTCCTGCTGCCCCAAAAAATATATGGACTGAGGGAGGGCAAGAATCAAATCAAGGAGATCAGTCTCCCCTCACTCTCTCTCTACAGCAGAGCCCTGAAGATGAAAACCCTCAGGCAAGCGTGTACTCAAGATCTAGGCAGGGAGTGACCACCCCTCTTTCCTCCCTGTTGCAGGACATGAAGGACAGACAAGTGGAAGAGGGCAGTCAGAGGGACAGTCAGGTGGGTCCTTTCTCTCCATTTTCCCAGCCTACCGTGTACCCCACCAGGAGCCCTGGTGGGGCAGTGGTTAAGCAACTGGCTGCTAACTGAAAGGTAGGTAGTTCGAACCCACCAGCAGCTCCTGGAGAGAAAGATGTAGCAATCTGCTTCCCTAAAGATTTATAGCCTTGGAAACCCTATGGGGCAGTTCTACTCTGTCCTATAGCGTCCTTATGAATCAGAATAGACTCAACGGCCAACGGCAATGGGTAATGGGTAACACTCCACCACAACTTTGTGCCTGCATCTCACTCTCCTCCCACTCCAGGCTGCTACACTTGAAGACCCCCAGGAGGTGACATACGCACAGCTGAACCACTCCACGCTCAGACGGGAGACAACCACATCCCCTTCCTCCCAGTCAGGGAAGCCCTCCGGTGAGCCCAGCATATATGCAGCTCTGGCTATTCACTAACCCAGGACAAGACCCAGACCCCAGTTTCCAAGGAGGGGCCTACAAGGACCCCAGAAGGCAACAGAGCTACCCCCATGGGCACTCATCTGAAGAACCCCAGGCAGCCTGGAGACCTGACATGGACCCCCAGGAACTTCTGGGACCTTGTGGAAGTTGTTTCCACAGACTCCACCCAAATTACACAGCTGATCTTACAGTCCCTGCCAAACTCATCCAGCCAACTGCAATGATCCCATGGGATTCTGTCATCAACCAGACCCTAATCACCCAAGTGGCAAACCTGGGGGGGCCTACCACCTACTACCTGAAAACGGACTTGGAAATGTAATCTTCTACAGGCTTCATATTTACGTTTGGGAACAGCACTCTAACAATGTTAAAGGACTCAGAAGTGTGTTAGTGCTGTGAAGCTGAGCTTTTAACTGATCTCAGAGTCCTGAAACAGGGAACAGACTACAGAAGGCTGAGAAGTTGCTTAATTTCAGTGGTCTCTCCTCCAAGTCCCTTCCTCCACTGCACGATGCAGTTTCTCAACAAGGCAAAGGCAAGGGGAAGCTAGCCTCCTCCTGACCATGTTTTCAGAAACCCCCAGAAGCAGTGGGAAGGGGAGGAGGGTGCAGGGTTCCTTAAATGTCACCTGCCATCTGTCTAACACTATGTCATTAGACAACATAGTCGCCATTTTCCACTTCACCAAAACCACATCTGTAAGACAGAAGCCTGGGACCTTGCCTGATCCCACACCTAAAAGCAACAAGCTGTCAAATGGCTTCGAACCGGTTCATTCTGGCTTGACCCGCTGCTGAGAATTTGCCTTTCCACCCCCAGATATACTGAATCAGAACCTACATTTTAACAAGACCTCAGGTGATTCTTACGTTTCATATGTTGTTCTCAAAATCTTGTGAAATGCTCCTTTAGGTTTTTCCTTTTATGCCTGATATTGTCTCTTTAATCAGTAATGTATGAGTGACTCTGTTCAAAGCCCTGCTTTCAAATCAGTCCAGATTTTTTTCAAGTGCTACTACCTAAAAATCACAACCATTCCCAGTTCATCTTCGCCAGCAACCAAGACTGGAAGGCTCAGCTTGTTCTCTTGTTCTGCTCACTTAACCTTACCCTGACTTATCTTGACCCAGGGGCCAGGGTAAGATGACTGGAAGTCCCGAGGATGCCCTGACCTGCACTTGCTACTCACTCTGCCTGAAAATGATCCCTTCTCCCTTCCCATATGCAAATGGTGACTCACAGAGCTGTTCCTGTAACACTGTTGGTCAGCCTCCCCCACTGATGATGGAAGCATCTTGCAAAGATGCCTGTTCTACTCACTGTTGCTGTAACCCCCACACTAAGCCTAAGAGGCCAAGGACTGCCATGTAGTAGGCACTCAAGTATCTGAATAACAAAAGTAATCAGGCCCCCTCTATACACTCAGCCACATTCAAAAAGCCAAGGGGAATTGTGAGAAGTAAACACCTGTGAAACATCAGCTGCAATCACAGCCCCCAGGGTTAATTTTGAAGTGTTATTTATTAATCTCAATGCATGATTACCGGCCTTTTTTATCTATAATTTACCTAAGATTACAAATCAGAAGTCATCTTGCTATCAGTATTTGGAAGCCAACCATGATTATTTATCCCCAACCTCTCTGGCCCACCCATAGTGCTTAAGAGTTACGTTGGCAGTTCAAATCCACCAGGTGCTCCTTGGAAACCCTATATGGCAGTTCTACTCTGTCCTAAAGGGTCATCACTGAGTCAGAATCAACTAGTTGGCAATAGGTTTGGGTTTTATTCCCCCTCTGGCCCACCAGGATCCCTCCTCTGCACTCCCACTAGACATACCAGGTGCCAATTCAAGGAATTTAACTTTTTTCCAGAAACCTGTGAATTAGGCTGAAACTACAATTGTTATGTCCTATTATCTGTCAGCCGCAAAATGCTGTTGAGTCACCACTTCAGAACTTTCCTCCTAAATAGGTTTCATTGGCATAGCTGAATGGGCTTCCATTCTTTTTGAAAATGTGCTCAGACAGGCCCAAGTCCATGCAGCTGTGGCAAAGTTACAGTTCTACAGTTTCACGTAACCTTACAGTTACTGTGTAATTAGTGCCACAATGTTTTACCTAAAACATATCTACCACAGACTAGATGTAGTATTTCCTGTGTAAATTTCCTAATACTAATAAATATTTGTCATCCCTGCGTAAAGCGTATAAAGGAAAAGCACATTTGAAAATAAAGTCAGACGGAAAATTCCTTTAAAAAATTTAAAAAAGCAAGTGGACAACCTATCCGGGACACAGCCTGGGCTTCCTCCCACTACTTAGGACTAAATTTTCAGAATAGGGGCCAGACTGGGTCCCAAGAGGGGATGTAAGTCAGGGAGAAGAGATCTGATAATAAACACCAATTCCAAAGTTCTGATCCGGTTTTTATTATCTGGTTGGAAAACTAGACAATGTCCCCAACCCAGGAGGGGATGGACGGGCTTAATCCTCCTCCTCATCATCACCGGCTCCGGCCCCGCCCTGGCCCTTCTTGGCGTTCTTCCTCTTCACACGGCCTGGGCGGCCTCCTCCATATGGGGAGCGGAGGGAGAAGTCAATGTGCTTCTGGGAGTCCAGGCGGACAATGAAGGACGGAATGTTCACCACCTGCTTGCGGACCCTGGAGGAGGTAGGGATGGCAGGTCAAGGGGATTGGGAGCAGAAAACGGGGTCCCCACTGCAAGACAAAACACCATTCTTTCTCCTCTTCTTCCGAGTGGATGTGGTTATACTGATAGAATTAATACCGGAGTAGGGTTCTAGACCCCATGGAAATCCCCGTGTAATCACAAGGGCCTTAGGGCATCACCTCACCCACACCAATTGCTTCAGGAGACAAGTTCTCATTCACACGTTACCCATGTACCCACACAAGGTCACAAAGCCAGTAAGGTGGCACCATGTGGACCCAGGTCAGGTTTTCAAACACTCTGAACTCTGTGCCAGGCCCCAAGCTTTACCCTCAGGTAGTTTCACACTCAGGTGCAGCCAAACGAAGCAGGTTCTCTAAACCCATTTCATACACGAATAAAAGTGAGGCACTTGCCCACAGTCACACAGGGCTAGAGGATGGCTGAGCCAGAAATTCAACTTGGGGAGACCTGCAAGCATTTTGCCCACTTTCTATACCATGTATATGTAAGCTTTCCTCTACTTACGGGAGGAAATGAGTACCCAGATAAAGCCCAGTTTACCCTGACTGCCCTTTTCACTGCACCAGCTGCCACCCTGGCTTTCAAGCATCAGACCTCTGGCAGTGATTTCACAAGTTAATGACAATCAGGGTCTGGAACAGACTTTACAAGCGGGCCCAGTAGACAGGTGAAGCCACCTGTCAGTTCAGTGGCCTCTCCCTTGCCTGGGGACACCAAGAGCTGTTACCTGTCCAGCTGCCCACGTGCTTGGTGGAAGCCTTCACAAGGTGTACGGCTTGAGCCGCAGTGACCCTTGCGCTGGGGTATGGGAACATGAGGCTACACTCAGCTCCACAAGCTGCTGGCAGGGGGCAAATCTGGGGCCCTCAAAATGAGCTCACACATGCCACCTCCGAAGGCTGCACAGGAAATAGGGACAGCAGTGAGAGCGGCCAACAGAGAGAAGAGGGTAGGAAAGGGGAACCCAGGCAGCCCTACAGAGGCAATACCTGATGTGGCGCTGCCGGATCAGCACCCGGGCGTGGTGGATGGACTTGGCCAAGCCCAGCTTGAACACCTGGGTCTGCAGGCGCCTCTCCAAGAAATCCTCGATCTTCAGGCCCAGGATGTAATCTAGCTTCATCTTGCCCTCATCCAGCACTCCAATGCGGACCAGTCGCCGCAGCAGTGCATTGCCTGGGAAAAGGGAGAGGAAGCACTGATTCAGGATTCTGATTGGCCTCAGTCTTGTGTTGGTTGCTGTCAAACCACTACTACCACTAACAAAGTATTGTGAATAGGAGCTCATAGACCGGAGTCGGGGAAGCCCTGCTAGTTAACCAGATGTAAAGGTACATCACTTTTGTTACCTGTAAAATGGGAATAATTATCAGTGCCTACCCTTTTAGAGCTGAGAATAGAAAAATCTAAGAGTAGTCATGTTTAAATGGGTGTCATTCATTATACCACTCCGTGAAATTTTCCATAAAAGACAGTATATGTAAACAACCTAACAATGCACAGTAAAAAGTATATAACAGACATCAGCCACTACCTAACTTCTTCCAATGACGCCAGGCTCGGATGCTGTTCCTTGCCCAGAATAGGCCCTTGATCTACTCTCTGACGGCATGAAGTAGGCATTATAAAATGCCTTAGTCTCTTAATCTGAAAAACGGACAATTCCTGCACTTAAGCTGCTATGAGGATGGAGTTCATACCCGTAAGGTGGTTTACCTTACTTGCCGTTAAACGTTAAAGCCTTTTAAACAGATGAGACTCAGAAAACCTTGCTCAATGTCACACCACTTTGCAGGAAAATCTGGTTCAGCGTGACTTGCCTGTACTAACGAGCAAAGATCAAGGTGATGGTAAAAAAAAACAAAAAAATCACCTGCAGATGAGGCAGAGCTTGTGGGTACCTTCTACCACTGCTTCTTTCATTACTTTCCCAATGACTGTATCTAAATAAGCTCCCTTGTGATTAGTTCTATCTTCAGAAAGTCCCCCATGAAGCCAGAGCAAGCCGTGGCTACCTCCCTCCCCCGCAACCCCGGCCACTGGATTCTGGAAATCAACTCCTACTCAGTATCAGCATCCCTTGGGGGGTGAGTGGGGGGAGTCCACAGCTTTCATGGGATTGCCAAAGGGTGTCTATGACCTATAAAAGTAGTGGAAACCCCTACCACCCACAAGTCTGGGATGGATTTAAGCATGGTAAACTTGTGGTAGTTAAACACGCATGTGGCCTTTCTCAATTCCTACTGTGCATAGCCACCCTGATGCCTATCACAGGTGTAGAGGCTGTTCCTTCCCACATATCTTAATCAAAGATCAAGAAAATCATACTATAAACCCTATTTGAAAATTATGAGAAAAATCAGTTGCCCAAGGAAGCCAGGCCTTTCAATTCCTGGTCCTTCCTGCTTTTCACCATAAGTCAAGATTACTCATGTATGGTCAGGCTAAAAACTGTAGTGTTTCAAGACGAAACCTGTGAGGTGGCCTATTTTAAAGGCAACTAAAAACAAGTTACGGAACCACCTATAGCCAGATTTCACATTTGGTGAAATCAAATGTGTAACTCTGCCCATGGCCAGGATACGATGGAAAACAGACATATCAAATTAGGAAGCCATTTTATTTCACATTTAAATACCGTTTAAACATTTACCATATTTCTGTAATTAAAACTCATAACATCGTCATTTTCCAAGTCATAGCTCATTACACATAACTGCTAGCTTCCTATAATTGGTCTCACTCCATCCCCACCGTTGGAGATCATGTGACTCTGGAGCCAGGTGGCCTGTCCTCCAATCCCACATACAGTGAGGCCTCCCTGACCAATCTGTCATCAGTACAAGTATCAGCAACTATCCCTACAAAAACGTAGCACATAAGAAAAAAATAATCACTTCGACCCTTACAAAACGTTAGCCACTGTAATACCATTGCCCCACCAGTATTATTTAAAATGAGTTATATACTGTAATTCTTCTGCTCTGGAAAGCTATCCTCCATCTCATTTCCAAAACTCCCATCTCAGCACCTTAAAAAATTAGTCTGAGGCCCTGTATGATCTGTCTTCCCTCCCAATGTCATCACTGAAATGCTCTTCCCTGTGACATCCAGGTAGATTGCTTCCTTTCCTATCCAGGTCTCTTAAATGTCATCTTGCATACACCCAAGTCCCCTCCTGGCTTTTCTCCATCAGCCATTCCAGGAATTTCAGTTTTGTCAATGCCAACAATAGAATACAGGCTACACGAGAACTGTTTTACTACATCACACACAGCTAGAACTAGGTGCCCAAATATACTTAACATTTTAGTTTTACTTGAGTAACTCGACGCTACAATGTTTTTCTAAACCAAAGGCACACATCTAAGACATTAGGATGGGATTTGAAGCCACTGCCCCCTTTCCTACTCCACAATCCCCAGTAAATGCCAAAGTTAAAAAGCTAGTTCCACTTGCTCGATGTCAAACACTTTCATCGTTAAAACAGGATGCCTGGAAGGCACAACCTCAGCAGCCCTCCAACTTCTTTCAGTGCACTAATCGTACCTTCAAACAGACGCCGTGGGTCCTTCTCGTCCAGCGTCAGCAACTCCCGGGCAGCTTTGCGGATCTTGGCCAGAGTAAACTTGACCCTCCAAACCTCACGTTTGTTCCGGAGCCCATACTCGCCTACACGTGGAAGGGAGGAGGGGAGTTGACGGAGAAGAGACTTAGTCCCACAGACTAGCACAAAAGCTGGTGGTGATCGATGACTACGGGATTCAGAAAATTTTTCTAAACCACGAATAGTAGTACCAAATTCGGGGAAAAGGGAGACAAGACTACAACGAACACATGGACAGACGCACCCACGTGCTAGCCTTCTCCCAATTCCAGAAGCGAAACCTTGCCCCTAGCACTCACCAATCAGCTTCAGCTCTTGGTCGAGACGAGACTTCTCGAATGGTCTCCGCGGGGTCACGTAAGTTTTGCGACAAACCCAGCTCCGCGCCACCGGCATGCTGCCTCCGCTTGCCCCTCTGCGCCTGCGGGAAAAACCCTGTCTTGAGAAATGCGGATTCGTTTGATTCTAGAGCCTCCTGGCTCCCGGAGTAAACCTCGCGAAAACAGCCCTAAAACGTTTGCAGTAGGCCTCACGCCCCACAATCACGCTGCAATCCTATCTAACCACCCTCTTCTCGTCCCATCTTCTTTAGCGTACTGACTAAAGTTCGGAAACTCTAACTTTACAACCCAAACCCAGACGAGAGACCACAACAAGAAATCTCACCCGAGGACACACACCGGTAACAAAAAGAGGCCCACGGCACCCTCAGCCACGGTCTTATAAGAACGCCGCCGCTGCGTGACGTGAGCACGTACGCGCAAACCTGCGCCAATCAGAAGAGGCGTCAGCGGGCGGAAAAGCAGACGAGACGACAGGTTGGGCTAGAATGGCCTGCTGGGCGGGAAGATCGCTCTTCCTGAGGGAGGATGGGAACGCGGATTACCGGAGAAGTGGGGAGGGCATCTAGGACCTTTTCCGCCGTTGTGAAGTAGTTCTTAATTAGTCATGCAACTAGCCTACAGTTCAAGAGGTCTGGGTGCCAACTCTGCCTCTGAGTCGTGGTATAAATGTAGGCGTAATTACCTCCACACTCAATTCCTTTCTCCCTCTGTGAAATGGTCCCGAGAACGTAGGGGCTTCAGAAACTCAAAGCTTCTTCCAGGTCAGATGTTCCGTTGAGCATATGAATAATGGAATCAGTCGTACCTAGAATGTCAGCCTGAAGCCTAACCAAAAGTCGGCCCTTTGGAACCCTGGCTACAAATCTGCCTCAGGAGTGGATGCAGAAAGCGAGGATTAATTGAAATTTCATTCTCTTGCCCAAGGACACACAGCTCACCTTTCCATCTTGGTATTATTCCATTTTTGCTTTCCTTTTTTTAAAATTATTATTATTGTGGTACATATATAGGTAACAAAACGTTTGCTTTGCCATTTCAACAATCTTCGCTTGCGCAATTCAGTGATATTAAAATATGTTCATCATGCTGTTCAACCATCATCTTTGCTTTTTGTAGACAAGCAAAAAGAAAAAAAAAAAAAACTTGGTAGAACTTCTGCCATACCTGGAATCATTCATCACCTAGTGTCTTTCTGCTACCTGTAGAAGTTGTTCTTCCTCAACACTCAACATAGACCTCATTCATTCATTTATTCAACAACTAATTATTGCTCAGCACAAGGAATCGTTCTTCTACATGATGGCCCATTGCTGACAGTCAATAAATTGTTAAATGTTTCAATAAATAACCAAGTGCATCATCTTATGCTCTTTGTCCATAAATTGTCTCCAATCCAGTCTTCTAAACCACTACTTCAGTGCGTGCTACCTTTTGGACTCACCACATCCAAAACCAAGCTCCAGATCTTGTCCCTAAAAATTGGTCCTCTCTCTGGATTCTCTAGCCAAGGAATACTCTCATCATCTGTCCCATAATGCAGGAGTAAAACTTTGATGCTGTCTTCACTTTTTACCCCCTACCTCTCACCCTCTGGCCATAGTTCATCAGTACTCAAATCCTGTCCCTTCTGTCTTATTCTTCCCCCTCTCTATCCCCTCAGGCCAGGCCCCAGGTTAGGCCTCATCCTTTCCCTCCAGGACAACAGCAGCAGCTTCCTCCCTAGCTCCAGTTTCACCTCTGGACACAGGTACTCCCCACCCACCCCCGAAAAAAAAAACCTGCTGTGGAGTAGATTCAGACTCATGGCAACCCCATGTGTGACAGAGTAGAATTGCTCCATAGGGTTCTCTTGGCTGTAATCTTTACAGAAACAGATGGCCAGGCCTTTCTTCCACAGCCAACTGGGTGAGTTCAAACTGTTAGCCTTTTGGTTAATAGTCAAACGCAAACCATTTGCGCCACCCAGGGACCTTTCAAGGTGCCCTAGTGGCACAGTGGTTAAGTGCTTGGCTACTACCAAAAGGTCAGTGGTTTCAACCCACCAGCTGCTCTGTGGGAGAAATATGTAGCAGTCAGCTTCTGTATAGATTTACAGCCTTGGAAACCCTTGACAGCAACAGATTTAGGAACCTTACAGGAAAGTAAAAACCAAAAACCCATTGACGTTAAGTCAACACCGACTCATAGCGACCCTACAGGACAGAGTATAACTGCCCCATAGGATCTCCAAGGCTGTAAATTTGTAACGAAGCAGACTGCCACATCTTTCTCTCATGGAACAGCTGGTGGGTTCAAACTGACCTTTAGGTTAACAGCTGAGCACTTAGGGACCATTTAAAAATATTTGTTATAAGGTGGAACAACCCAAGTGTCCATCAACAGATGAATGGATAATCAAAATGTGGCACGTACATACAATGGAATATTATTCAGCCATAAAGAGACATGAAGTTCTGACACGTGCTATGGCATGGATGAACCTTCAACACATGTTGAGTGAAATTAATCAGATACAAAGGCAATATTGGATGATCCCACTTATATGAAATACCTACAACAGGCAAATGCATAGAGACCAAAGTAGGTTAGTGATTACCAGAGACTGGAGGGAAGAGGGAGCCCTGGTGGTGCAGTGGTTAAAGCCATTAACCGCTAACCAAAAGGCTGGCTGGTTTGAAATTACCAGCGGCTCCGTGGGAGAAAGATGTGGCAGCCTGCTTCTGTAGAGATTCAGTCTTGGAAACCCTATGAGGTCGCTATGAATCGGAATCGACTCAACAGCAGTGGGTTTGGTTTGGAGGGGAGAGGGAAGGGGGAGTTGTTGTTTAAGGGATACTGAGTTTCTGTTTAGGGTGATGAAAAACATTTGGAAATGATTAGCAGTACTGTTAGTGGTAATGGTTGCACAAGGCGGTGAAAATAATCAATATCACTGAATTACACACTTAAAAATGGTTAGAATGGCAAATGTCTTGTTATACATGTTTTACCATAATAAAATAATTTTTTTTTTTTTTTAAAGTGTGGTATGTCTGATAATTTTCAGAATCACGTTCTAACTCCATCTCTCCATAGTGGCATGAATTTACTTGAGATCTTTCATCTTAGATTTCTTCCCGCAGGCCTGTCTGAGAAAGGTAAAAAAGTGAAGCTATCAGATTTCTTTCTAAATACAATGCAAATCTTGACTCTGAAGGCTGGGCTGCCTCTGGTGAAAGAAATTGGGGAACTAGAGGTAGAGATGTTCAGCCACAGAATTTTCTACCAGTGAATATATTACATTAACAAAATCTATGCTGACAAAACAAAACTATGTATTGTTTAGATAGATATATAAATGTCAGCAGTTGGTATGGTAATATTCTGGCAATTTCTTAAGCAGAAAGGTTAATTTTTGTTTTACACATACATATTTCATACATCTATAGGTTTTACCTTTTTTAAAACTTATGGAATGTTGTTGTTTTTAGGTGCCATCGATTTTTGACTCACAGCAACCAATGTGACAGAGTAAAACTGCCCCATAGGGTTTTCTAGGCTGTAAACTTTATGTGCACAGATAGCCAGGTCTTTTCTCCCAAGGAGCCACTGGTAGGTTCGAACTGCCAACCTTTCAGTTAGCAGCTGATCACTTAACCACTGCACCATCAGGGCTCCTTACTTATGAAATAGACCCATACGAAAAATGTCTAAAATATAAATGTATAGCACCAAAAATAATTATCAAACACCTGAATAAACACTACCCAAACCAAGAAAAAGAACACTGTCAGCACCCTAGAAACCCTAGGTGTCCTTACTGATACTCCCCTCCCCACTCCAAACCCGTCTTGAAATGACAGCACTCACTTCCTTCTTTTCTTTATGCTGTATTCTTATTTATATCTTTGTACGCATCTGAAACATTTTGTAAAAATCTTTAAGAAAGGTAGTTTAGTATGGTGGGGAGAGCTCAGGCTTGGGAGACAAAAAAAAAAACAGGTATTAAATTCCAGCTCTGCTGCTTCCTAGCTGTGTGACCTTGGGCATGTCATTTCCCTCTCCTCCAAGCCTTCTTCTCATCTGTATGTTGTTGTTGCTAGCTGCCCCCAACTCATGGCAACCCCACGTACGATGGGATCAGACTGTTGTAAACCATAGGGTTTTCAGTGACTGATTTTTTGGAAGTAGATCACCAGGCCTTTCTTCCTAGTCTGTCTTAGTCTAGAAGCTCTGCTGAAACCTGTTCTGCATCATAGCAACATTCAAGCCTCCACTGACAGATGGGTGGTGGCTGTGCTTCAGGTGCATTGGCCAGGAATCAAACTCAGGTCTCCCTCATGGAAGGTGAGAATTCTACCACTTAACCACCACTGCCCTCTTCTCATCTGTGTACGTGGATAAAAACACCACACTTCCCAGGGTTGTTGTATGGATTCAAATCAGACTTGACATTTATCCAACAAGTTTATTGAAACTTCCTGGGAGACAGGCCCTGTGGAAAACAGAGACAAATCAAACCTAGTCCTCACACTCAAGAAGCTCACAGTTTAAGAGATGAACAGTTGGAAATAGAAAAAATAACACAGCCAATAAGTGCTTTGAAACAGGGAGGGATATAAGATGTAGTGCTTAAAAACCTGGAATCAAAAACTAACCCTAGAGCGAGGTAGGAGGGTGCTCTAGCCTGCCATGCAGAGATGAGCTTGGGAACTTCTACAAAGGCTCCTGCCGCAGACATAGTAACACCATCATCCTAGGCCTTTGGAGTTCACTGCAGGCCGGCCCACTGCAGGGAGGTGTACACCACCTTACCATCAGGCTGCGGTGAACAGAGGAGCAGGGTCTTTCTGACGCTGGTTCCAAGGCGGCCGGCAGAAACCAAGTCCTGGAGCGGGATTGGGTCCTCAGCAGCCCAGCACTGAGCAATGTAGTGAGCATGGAAACGTAGTGGGTCACCTGGGTGAGGCAGAGAGACATGCTAACAACCTAACGGCCTAGAAATTTTTTTTTTTATCGTGCTTTAGATGAAGGTTTACAGATGGTTTAGTTTCTCATTAAACAGTTAATACACATATTGTTTTGTAACATTGGTTGCCAACCCCATGACGTGTCAACACTCTCCCTTTATCAACCTTGGGTTTCCTGTTACCAGCTTTCCTGTCCCCTCCTGCCTTCTTGTCCTTGCCCTGGGCTGGTATGCCCCTTTAGTCTTGTTTTGTTTTATGGACCTGTCTAATCTTTGGCTGAAGGGTGAACCTGAGGAGTGACTTCAGTACTGAGTTAAAAGGGTGTCCAGGGACCATACTCTCAGGGTTTCTCCAGACTGTCAGACCAGTGAGTCTGGTCTTTTTTTTTGTGGGTTAGAATTTTGTTCTACATTGTTCTCCAGCTCTGTCCAGGGACCTTCTATGGTGATCCCTGTCAGAGCAGTCAGTGGTGGTAGCCGGGCACCATCTAACTGTGCTGGACTCAGTCTGGTGGAAGCTGTGGTATTTGCAGTTCATTAGTCCTTTGGACTAATCTTTCCCCTGTGTCTTCAGTTTTCTTCATTCTCCCTTGCCCCAGACGAGATGGGACCAGTAAACTATCTTAGACGACCCTTCACAACCTTTTAAGACCCAGACACTACTCACCAAAGTAGGATGTAGAACATTTTCTTTATAAACTATGTTATGCCATTGAGCTAGATGTCCCCCGAGACCATGGTCCCCAGCCCTCAGCCCAGTAATTTGGTCCCTCAGGGCCTAGAAAGGATTTTTGCTACAGCAGTTTCCAATGGCAAATGTAGAAGACCTTCAAACAGCCATTCATAGCAGACAGGAAAGCGTTTTGGCAATCACTATCAAATTAAAATGATTCCCTTGGACCCAGTAATTACATTACTAGACATTTTGGTCTTATCAGTTTGTTGTTGCTGTTATTTTCATCAAGTCAATTCTGACTCATGGAGATCCCATGTGTGCAGAGTAGAACTGCTCCATGGCTTTTTTCAAGGCTGTGACCTTTTGGAAGTAGAATGCCAGGTCTGTCTTCTGAGGTGCCTCTGGGTGGGTTTGAACCGCCAACCTTTTGGCTAATAGTCAAGCACTTAATCATCTGTACTAACCATGAACTCTTCTTATAAGCATTAAAAAAAAAAAAAAAAAAAAAACAACTCATTGCTATCAAGTCAATTATGGCTCATAGCGACCTTATAGGACAGAGAACGGCTGCCCCATTCTTAGGGGCAGTTCTACTGTCCTATAGGGTTGCTATGAGTCGGAATCCACTCAACGACAATGGGTTTTGGTTTTTTTAATCTTTACGGAAGCAGACTGCCACATCTTTCTACTGCATAGTAGCTGGCGGGTTCAAACCGCTGACCTTCCCGTTAGCAGACAAGTGCTTAACCACTGTGCAACCAGTGCAACTTTCTTTTAGGTATAGTGGCACAAAAATATATCCATAAAGATGTTTACTTTGTTTTCATTTATAATTGCTAATGAATGGAAACAACCAAACCATGGATTGGTTAAATTTATGGTACATCCATAAGAGCAAATATTATACAATTCTTGAGAGTAAAAGAATGTTATCAACTTGGAAAAGTCAATGATACATTGAGTAGGAGAAAAACAGGGCAGGGGGCTAGCTGCCACATGTATAGTATAATCTTATTTAAAAACACAATAAAAATTACTGAATATGTCATTGTCATGGCCTAAGAAACAGGATGACAAAGTCAGTCAATATAAGGAACTCAAAATACTATAATATGTACATATCTAATGGGAAATGACTCTAACAGACTGAAAAGAGAAAAGTATGTACAATACGATGGAGCAATACATAGATGGGATAATAGGCCAACAAAATTTTTCTGAAAAGGGCCAGATGGTAAATATTTTCAGCTTTGTGGGCCATGTTGCAAATACTCATTTCTGCAATTGTAGCATAACAGTAGTCAGAGACTGTATGTAAACAAGTTGGTAGGGCTGTGTTCCAATAAAACTTTACTTACAAAACCAGTTGGTGGGCCAGAGTTGACATGGGGCTGTAGTCTGCCCCTGGATTAAATGAATCTGACTGACTAGGAACTTGAGTGGGACATTGTACAGAAGATTAAGTAATAGGTAATATAAATCTAAGTGGGCAAGGTAATAAGACATCCCATCTGAGGGAACTGTCACAGCAACTATAGAACAAGGCCCAGCCTGGCAGCTGAGTTTCCATCAGGAATCTAACCAGAAGCCGGGTACCTCTCTTGTTGTTATGATACTTCATCTAGCTAAGACGGGAGCATCAAATGCTTGAGATATTAACTCCAAAACTGTCTCCTCATAGGCTTAGCACATTTTGACCTCAGGAAGGTTTAGAATTAGGCTTAGAAATATTTAAGAGATTCAGATCTTGACTACTAATATTAGTATTAATGGATAAATTAGTATATAATACTAATATATGAATACTAATACAAAATACTAATATCTCACAGACAAAGAATCTATGCACACTGGTATGCTAAGTACTTATTGTTTTAGAAATATTGGCCCACTAGAACTAACAGGAAACCCTGGTGGCACAGTGGTTAAGAGTTCGGCCGCTAACCAAAAGGTCGGCAGTTCGAATCCACCAGGTGCTCCTTGGAAACCTTATGGAGCAGTTCTACTCTGTCCTATAGGGTTGCTATGAGTCGGAATCGACTCAACGGCAATGGGTTTTTGGTTTTAGAACTAACAGGTCAGCCTTGTGGTTCCGTTTAAATACTGTGTGTGTGTAAATACTGTGTGACTTAGTAATTAACTGATTTAAACTTATATTAACCGTAAGTTACAGTAAACTTAGAAAGTGTTCGAACATCTAAGAGAATTTAAAACTTACTTCATTTACAATTTATTAGAAATAAGTTATTAGATAAGTTCCCAAATCAGAAAATTGTAGAACTTAGGGAGGAAAACAAAAATACTACAATTTAAAATGTCACTTGTAATACTTAAAATCACTTACTATAAAAAGGAGAGTGCATTTGTACTAAGGAGCCCTAGGAATTAAAAATGCTCTCCCCAAAGTTTAAGAAATTACTCTGAATCAGAGAAAAGTCTAGATTCTTGAGAAAATGCATTCTTTCAAGCCAACTCTTTCAAGCCAACTATCTTATTAAATTAGGAATTGCAAATTATTTAAATTTCCATGGCATTTTTTCCATAGTATGACAACTATAAAATAATTTAATGACTAACTCATTAAAGTGTCCTTATTGTTAAATATTCAATATTTCATATGGACTTGTTATCTAGTTACGTATTTACTGATTCTTAACACTAAAGCAAAGAGAACATCAAAAAAAATATTCAAAAGCACTTAATTCCTTTTGCAAATAGAATGCAACATGAACTAACAATGGCCCCCTTAAATGTTCCCAGGTTGAAAAAAATTAAGGTATGTAAATCGTACTCAAAACTTAGAGAAGTGGATTTTTACATTTGTATATTTAATAAATGGAATATCCACTTTTAAAAACAAAATAATCTTTTTTACATACAAAAATCACCAACAAACAGTAGCTAAATAATTAAACCATGGCTTATCTGTAGAGAACGGGATTATGGGTCTTGGAGCAGGTAAACCATTCTCACTCCTAAATTGGTCACTTAGTGTAAATTTTAGTCTGAGAACTGCCTGAGGCTCTCAGCTCATCTGCATTGGATTTCATGGACAGTCCCCAATGAATGCCTGAGGTCTGACTACTTATCGAGTTGTTCTATCTGTCCACATTCTTAGAGCAAACAAGGATAATTTTCTGCAGATTACTTTTACATTTTAGATGAAGGTATCCTTACTATATAGGTAGTCTCCCACTTACGACAGCGTTATATTCCGACTACTCCATGGTAAATCCGTCCTCACGTAAGTCAAATACCGCTTTTTTTTTTTTAAACTTTTCATTATCATCACCTTTTATTATCAGTATTTTATAAATCCAATCATTGTCTTTGGGGGTTGGAAACATTACATATAAACATCAGCAAGTGAACATCCGAGAATGATAACATCAGCAAATTATGTGATACAACATTGTATGTGGTATACTCAGTACACTTAGTAACGATAAGATGTCCAAAAAAAAAAAGTCATAAGTGCAGTTTGTCCTCACTAGAGTATGTCATAAATCAAGGACTACCTATAATTCAAAAATTAACTGATTCAACAAAAGTCCCCTTTGTCCACCTATTAAAAAAAAAACAAAACAGAACCAAACCCATTGCCATCAAGTTGATTTCGACTCATAGTGACCCTATAAGACAGAGTAGAACTGCCCTATAGGGTATCCAAGGAGCGGCTGGTGGATTGAATTGTCGACCTTTTGGTTTGCAGCTGTAGCTCTTAATCACTGCGTCACCAGGGCTCCTGACCACCTCTACCTAATGCAAATTCCCTCCCTGGAGGTAACCACGGTAGTTGAGCTGCTGGTATATCCTTTCGTGCCTTTTTCTACTTGCTTGATGGGATTCTCTTAATCTATGTAGTACTCATTTTATTCTAATTTCCTTTCATATTATTTCATCATGGTGACAATTTTTACAGCTACTTAAATGATACGTATATATCAGTACATGCATATAAAAACAGGATTTATTTTTTATCATACACATTTTCTACAACTTGTTCTTTTTGTCCCCTTTGGTCATTTTTTTCATAGATGTATGTGGACCTACATCAACCTCTGACAACTAATGCTACGTTTCTCTGACAACTAACTGCTAGTTTAACCACTAACCTGTTGATAATCATTCTGGTTGTTTTCTAATTTTGCAATATTGTAAAGAATCCTGCCATAAGCATTCTTGTAGTTTTTGTACACATGTCTAAGTATTTCTGCCAGTATCAGTTGCCACTGAGTTGACTCCAACTCATGGCGATCCCACATGAGTCAGAGTAGAATTGTGCTTCCTAGGGTTTTCAAGGCTTTGACCTTTCAGAATCAGATCGAAAGGCCTTTCTTCCAAGGCGCCTCTGGGTGGACTTGAACCTCCAACCTTTCGGCACCACCCTGGGACTCCAAGTATTACTAAGTGAAACTTTTGGATTAAAATAAATGTTTAATAAAAATTACTAAAATCCATTGCTGTCGAGTCGATTCCGACTCATAGCAACCCTATAGGACAATGCAGAACTGCCCCGTAGGGTTTCCAAGGCTATAAACATTTACAGAAGCAGACTGCCACATCTTTTTCCCGTGGAGGAGCTGGCGGGATCAAACCACTGGCCTTTCGGTTAGCAGCCGAGCACTTTAACCACTATGCCACCAGGGCTCCTTTCAAAATTACTTAACTGCCTGCCAAATAAGCTTGGGCTAATGTTTCCCGTCCTTCCATGGGTTTCAGAGACTAACAAAAAATGAAGCAAAAAGAAAAACATACAGAATACTTCTGGATGGTAGTGTTGTAAGGAAAAGGGGCATCAACCAGGGGATCCCAACCCAAACTCACCAGGATAGACCAGGAAGTCACCCCCAAACTTGCCGGCAGCACTGAGGAAGAAACCTCGCTCCCACAGGTCTCTGTAAATGCTATAGCGCAGCTCATGGGCAGGACGACCAGCGTGGGGCCAGTCTTTGGACTGGACACGCCAGTCCAGGGGCCTAGCCTTGATGGGTCGAGGCCTGGCAGTGGCCAGCTGGACAAGCAGAGCAGACCTAGGCAGGGGGGCCACCCCATCTGAAGGCCCTGGTTGGGAAGAGGAGGAACCTGAGGGAGATACAGAGAAAAGAGAGTTTGGTGGACCCAAGGGGCAAGATCTTCCCACCCTTAGGGAGACACAGGCCCTAGATTCCCAACCAAAATTCCCAAAAAATCTGTAGGCCCTCCTTCCCCTCCCTGGTCCCTGGACTCCAACCCACACCTTCACCTGCTTCCTCGTGCTCTCTGGAAGCCTGGCTAGCATTGGCCTCGTTCTCTCCAACAGCTTGGCTCCCAGCAGCCTCCTGGCTCCCAGCAGCCTCCTGGCTCCCGCCAGACCCTGAATCCTGTTGTAGCTTCTGCTTCTTCACAGCCTGGCCCTCTGCGATCTTCTCCAGGAACTCCTGACAACGGGTCTCACGGGCCTCAGCTGCTAAGGCGCTTTGCTCCTGGAAACCCTGCTCTTGCTGGCGCTTGAATGATGCCAGAGCCTGAGGAGTGAACTTAGCTGGAAGCCCAGGTCTCAGGTATTCCGTTCCCCCAGGCCCTTAAAAACCAAAAAACCAAACCTGTTGCCGTCGAGTCGATTCCGACTCATAGCGACCCTATAGGACAGAGTAGAATTGCCCTATATGGTTTCCAAGAAGCAGCTGGTGGTTTCAAACTGCCGACCTTTTGGTTAGCAGCTGTAGCTTTTAACCACTGTACCACCAGGCCCTTAGCTAAGAATTCTGACTCCCAGCCTACTCCCATCTTAGAACTCCCAGCCCCCTACCCCAAAAATCATCTACAATCTGGTGCTCCCAGCCCTCTCTCACCACAGGGACCCCGAGTCCAGGGATTTCAGCCCCCCTACCCCACCAGTAATCTAGAATCCAAGGCTCCCAGCCTCCTGCCCCAACAGTAATCTACAATCCGGGACTCCCAGCCCCCTCTTACCTCAGGGACCCGTAGTCCAGAACTCCTAGCCCCCTACCTCAACAATAATCTACAGTCTAGGGCTCTCAGCAGTGCCCTCCCACCTCAGGGACTCGGAGTCCAGGGCTCCCAGCCCCCTACCCCAACTGTAATCTAGAATCCTGGGTTCCCAGCCCCCTCCCACCTCAGGGACCCCGAGTCCAGGGCTTCCAGCCCCCTACCCCAACAGTGATCTAGACTCCAGGACTCCCAGCCGCCCACCACCGCAGGACCTGGAATCCGGGGTTCCCATCCCTTGTCCCCGGAAGACTCGGGAGTTCGCGTGCCCAACCTGCTTACCAGGCCGTGGTCGCGGGGATCCGGGCGCGGGGCGCTGACCAGGGTCACGGCGCCGATCTCTGCCAGCAGCCGTGCCTCCTCCGGCATCAGCAGCAGCGGGAGGCCCAAGCGCGAGTTCTGGCGGGGGCCGCGGGGCAGGGCGCCCACCGTGCGGCCCCCTACGCCCAGACGCTCCCGCAGCGCCTGCACCGCTTCGGCCCCCCACACCAGGGAGCGGCCGTTCGCCACCTCCACCACCAGCATCCTCCTGCGGGAGGCGAAGGAAACGATCAAGAACAAGGCTGCACCCTCCCGCCACCCAGCGTACCCACGGTCTCCTAGGTCTTAGCGAAGCGCAGTTCCTGGGCCGCAGCGGTCCAGGCCTCACTGGCCGGCCTTTTGCTACCTGTCGAGCCCTAGGCTCCGCCCTCGAGTGTCTTCGGGCAATCCCCAACAAGGTTCGGGCCGCTAGGGACCAAAGCCCCGACCGACCCCTGAACGAATTCGGGGTATCCCGGCAGAATTCGGGCGGCAGAGATGGAGGCCCGCAGCCTCTCGAGTCCGCGGAGCTCCGCTGGATACCCGAAGCTCCAAGCGCGCGCCCCAGAGACCTGCTGTTAGCACTCGCCGCCCTTTTCCTACACTGATGCACTTGCCATGGAACCTTCACGCCTCAGAGAGAAATATCTGCCAGCTGGGACCATAGCCCCTTCGAAATGCCCATTTTGTCATCGCCCTTTCCCAAAGCAGGCGGCTCCCTTCAGGCGTTCCCCTTAGGTGAAGGCCCTCCCGAGGCCAATGTCCAGCCCACTCTGAAAGCCAGCCCCTTTGGGAAGGCCTCAGGGTCTCCGTTCTCGCATCAGGATGAGTTGTCATCAAGTAAGCTTCCACTCATGTCGACCCCAAGTGTGTCAGAGTAGACTGTGCTCGTGGAGTTTTCGATGACTGGTATTTGGGATGTAGACTGCCAAGTCTTTCTGCCGAGGCGCCACTGGGTGGACTCGAACCTCCAACCTTTCCGTTAGCGCTAGGTTAGCAGTCCAGCGCGTTAAGGAAGGAGTTACACCACCCAGAAACTGTAGGCCTCACCCTCTTCAGGAAGCTAACAACTTGGCGCCGCACCCCCGCAAACGTTCAAGCCTTAGCGCTCTGAGTCAGGCTCTCACCACCCCCCACCCGAATGCAAGCGGTGCGGGGGTTTGTGGTTCTCAGCTAAAGAGAACCCACAGCCCCGGTCCCTCCAAATGCAAGCATCTACGTTCGGGCGTTCTCAGATCGGCAGAATCCGCAGCCCCGCCCCCTCTGAGCACTAGCTGTTCGGCGTTCGGGAGTTCTCGACTCAGCCGACTCTACAGTCCCGCCTTTTCCCGAACGCAAGGGGTTCTCGGCTCCCGTCAATCCCACCCTGAAGCCCCGCCCCCTCCAAATGCAAACGGTCCTCCAGTTCGGGAGTTTCAGCCAAACCCCACAGCCCGGGGCTCCGCCCCCCAAGACCCGTCGTTCCTTTTCTGTTCGAACGGGCTCACCCTATTTGTGGGCGCTCAGTCTGCGTCCTTGTTTCCCTTCAGAATGTCCCCGCTTGTCTCCCAGTAAACACCTAGTCGCAGTGCAGACGAAACCACCCCCTACGTACCGCGCCACGCGCTGCTTTCTCCACCCCCTCCCACCCTGCCGACCCCCTGCGTCAATTTCGTCATCTCGCCACCTCAGCGAAGCGGGAAGTCTGGGATCCACCCACAGAAGACCGTGGCCCCACCCTTTCCCAAAGTAGAACACCTTGGCCCCGCCCCCTTCGTAGTGTCCCTCGGTTCATCCCACCGCCGCCGTTTGGTTCCGCAGTTTAGGAACATGAGGCTCATTTCCCCGGCTCCGACCCCCTGCCTGCCCCCTTTGGGAATACGCCTATCACGACCTCTTTTGTATTGCCTAAGTCCACATGATATCAGGAGGGACTAGTCCCTGGAGAAAGACATCATGCTTGGTAAGGTAGGGTCATGGAAAAAGAGGAAGACCGTCGAGGAGATGGGTTTACAGGGTGGCTGCAACAATGGCCTCAGGCATACCTGCTATTGTGGAGATGGCACAGGACCAGGCAGTGTTTCATTATGTTGTACATAGGGTCGCTGTGAGTCAGAACCAACCGACTCAATGGCACCTGAACAACAAAGTCTGTGGCCCTGCCAAGGAGCCCTGGTGGCACAGTGGTTAAGCGTTTGGCTGCTGAGGTTGGTGGTTTGAACCTACCAGCTGCTCTGTGGGAGAAAAATGTGGCAGTTGGCTTCCGTATAGCCTTCGAAACCCTATGGGGCAGTTCTACTCGGTCTTAATAGGGTGGCCATGAGTACAGCTCGTCTGGAAAAGGGTACTTTTTTGCTGTGGTGGCTCCGCCTTCTTAAAAACGAGGCTCGAGGTTGGAGGAAGCAGGTGGCTCCGCCTATCTTTAAACCAGGGTCACGTGGGCCCAACTGTCTCCAAAGTAAGCCGAAGCTGGTGGGCCCGCCTACATCCAACAGAGCAGAGTTGTTAGGTGCCATAGAGTTGGTTCCGACTCATAGAGACCCCTATGTACAACAGAACGAAACACTGCCACGTCCTGCCCCATCCTCATAATTCTTCCTTGCTATGTTTGAGCCCATTGTTGCACCCAGAGTGCTACATTCCCCGACTATCCCCGAAGTAAGCCGAAGCCTGTGGCCCCGCCTCCAAACTGTGAAGTCAAGCTCGCCATTCCGGCCGAAGGAATCCGAAGCCCTAGGCCCCGCCTCTTTCCGAACGCTAAACACCAAGCCCCGCCTCTTTCCCGGTTCAATCCCCTTCCTTCCGAACCGAAGCCTCTGGCCCGGCTTCTGCCCGCCCAAAGCCCCACCCTCTACATGCCCGCGGCCCGCGCCGCCGCTCCGTAGATCCGGGACCCCGGGTGAGCGGTGGACTCGTCCTGCCCGGGGGATCCTTCCCTGCCCTGCGCGGAGCCCTAACGGGGTCCGCGCGCCCGGCCCCCAGAAAGCGGAGGAGGCGGTGCGGGGGCGTGCTCGGCGGGGGAGGCGTGGCCGGACCTGTGGGGCCCGGTAGGCTGGGACTGCTTGGCCGCCTCCTGGCCCGGCAGCGCTGAGCCGCGGACCCGGGTGGGTCAGGGCGTCCCGAGGACTAAAGGGGTCCGGAGAGGGGAGACAGGTCGTTGCGGATTCGCGGGTTGATCGGGTGCGGAGGCGGCCCCTGGAGCGCAGCCGAGCACAGCGGTGGCGTAACCGCCTGTGGCTTTGCAGGGGGTGGGATCGGAGCCGTCCGGGTGCTTGGGGCTCGTGGGGGCGCTGAGAAGGCGTGTTGGTGGCTCGCTTTCCGGGGTCGAGGTAGGACAATGGGTCAAGAGCGCCAAAAGAGGGGTAGGTAGGAGGCTCAGACTCCTCTGGGTCCAGGGCTGGGCGTCCCGATACCTGGGTTCTCAAAGAGGAAGGGGCTGGGGTTTCAAAAGAGAGATCCAGATTCCTGGATCCTCCAAGGAGAAGGGGGGCCAGCAGATCTGGATTCCTTCGCTTTCAGAAGGGAAGGGGCCTCGAGTGGGGGGTTGTTTCTGGATTCTCAAAGGAGGGCGAGTCGAGAAGCCTGGGTCATCCATGGGGGAGGGGGAAGGGCTATGATTTCTGGATTCTGAAGGAGGGGGCTGGGGCCTGTATATCTGGATCCTCGAGGGAGGGGGGCGCTAGGGGATCTAGACGCTTGGGTTCTCAAAGGAGAAGGGGGCTAAAGGCCTGGATTCCTGGGTTTGCAAAGGAAGGGTGAGTGGGGGGCTGGATTTCTCAATCCTGGAAGAAGGAAAGGACTGGAGGTCCAGAGTTCTCAAAAGAGGGGAGCTGAGACCCAGACTCTAGAATCCTTGAAAACTGAGGACTAGGAACTGGATTCCTGGGCCTTTGAAGAGGGAGGGGGCTCAGGCTGCACTCCTGGGTTCTCACTGTGAACCCCGCCCCTCCCCTAGACCATGTCACCAGAAGAGTGGACATATCTAGTGGTTCTTCTTATCTCCATCCCCATTGGCTTCCTCTTTAAGAAAGCTGGTGAGTCAAGTTCCCTCCCCAGTGGAAAATAAGGGAGGGAGAGCCTGGGCGGATGGGGGGGGTGACCCTTAGCAGGTTCCAGGCTGACACTGTCTCTTCTCTCCACAGGACCTGGGCTGAAGCGATGGGGGGCAGCGGCTGTAGGCCTGGGGCTTACCTTGTTCACCTGTGGCCCCCACACCTTGCATTCTCTGATCACCATCCTTGGGACCTGGGCCCTCATTCAGGCCCAGCCCTGGTGAGAGTTTGGTGGGGGAAGGAAAGGAAAACACAACCTGTTTCCTCTTGGGTCTTTCTCAGTTCTTGCCTGGTCTCTGGATGTCTCTTGTTTATTTCTTGGTGTCATTTGTCTCATCTGCTTTTCTTCTTCTCTTGCCTTTTTCTATGTCTTCTGCATCCTTATCTTTGGGAGAGGATACACCATTCATGTTCATATTCTCTCTCTTTGTGTCTCTTTGTCTTTCTGTGTCTCTGTTTCTCTCTGTGTCTGTCTCTCTGTTTTTCTTTGTCTCTCTCTCTTTCTTATCTTGGGCTGTAGATTGTAGAGATAAAGAAAAACCAGAAACTGACAAGTCTTCACCCTGAACCTTCTCTTAAAATCTCTCTTCCTCCTCCTCTTTTCTCTCTGCATGGCCGTGCCTCTTCTTCCCCTGTCTCTCCATTACACTCATTCCATCCCCATCTCCTTCCCTTCCATTCTCTCTCTGCCCCCTCCCATCTCTGCCCCTTTCTCTTTTCCTCCCCCATTTTCCCTCTCTGCGGGGTAGGGGGGAGAGGTTGGAGGTGGATTTATAGCTAGAACCTGGGGGCGGGGAAGGCAGAGGCTGAGGTCCCTCCTGCCTTTGCCCCAGCTCCTGCCACGCCCTGGCGCTTGCCTGGACCTTCTCCTATCTCCTGTTCTTCCGCGCCCTCAGCCTGCTGGGCCTGCCCACACCCACGCCCTTCACCAATGCTGTCCAGTTGCTGCTCACGCTGAAGGTCAGACATGGGGCCTGCCATTCAATGTGGACCCAATAACCTGCCCACACATCACCTCTTCCAACTGGAATGGGGTTCACTTCCCTTCCCACTCCCATTGGGGGTGGGGTTTTATCTCCCACACACCCCTGGGGGGTGGGACTTTCCCTCTAAGATGCCCCTGGGAAGAGGTCTTCACCTGTCCACTGTTCCTGGGGTGAAGAAATAGCACAAGTATTGTAATAATAAGTGCCATTTGGCACTTGCCATGTCTTGCCATGTGCTAGAGGCTGGGCTAGGTGCTTTACCAATGCTGTCCTTGAATCTTTGTTGTTGTTGTTGGTTGCCATCAAGTCGATTCTGACTCATGGCGACCCCATGTGTGAGAGCAGAACTGCTCCATGGGGTTTTCAAAGCTGTGACCTTTCAGGAGCAGATTTCCAGGCCTGTCTTCCAAGTCGCCTCTGGGTGAGTTGGAACCGCCAGCCTTTTGGCTAGTAGTTGAGCACTTAGTCATCTGCACCACCCAGGGACCTTGAGGATAGGTAGGAGTTGGTTAGCTGAGAGTTGAAGCTGTAGGAGTTGATTAACTAAGAAGAGGATTGAGGAACAACATTTCAGGATGTAGAAACCAGTCTGTGTGTGACACAGCAGGCTGAATTCTACAACCTGTGCACCAGGTACAACCACTGTCTGCAGAGAATGAAGGGTAACGGGCAGCAGGGGCCACAGTGAGGAGTTTGGACCAACATCACTGGAAGAAGTTTTTTTGTTTGTTGCCAGAAGAGGTAATGGGACCAGATTTACGTGAGTTTTTTTTTAAACCCACTCTGGATGCTGAGAGGTGAATTGAAGTAAAGCAGAAAAATTAGGATGAGTACAGGTGACATTTGACAGCAGCTTGATGTAGGCTGTCAGTAGATCACTCAGAGTCCCAACAGGAAGCACCCCATTTAGGATAGTTTGAGGAGTTTTTATTTACAAAGGTGTGGGCAGGATGTTAGGAGTTCCTGGGTGGTGCAAACAGGTAGTTCAGGTAGTTGCTGTTATTAACTGAAATGTTGGCAGTTCAAGTCCATCCAGACGCACCTCAGAAGAAAGACCTGGCAATCTGCTTTTGAAAAGTCACAGCCAAGAAAACCCTATGGAGCACAGTTCTACTCTGCAACACATGGGGTCACCATGAGTCAGAATCAACTCAATGGCAAGTGATTTGGTTTGGGTTTGGGTGGGATGTAGGGGAGCCAGAAGGGAAAGTACAGGAACTTGTGATTACTAGTAGCAGAGCTATTACCAGCTCTGGACCCATTGGGGCGAGAGGAGAGGCAGGTAGTAGATCCTTGAAGGAGAAAGGGTCTGTAGAACCACCCAAAGGAGCCCTGGTGGCACAGTGGTTAAGCGCTCTGCTGCTAACTGAAAAGTCAGAAGTTCGAAGCCACCAGCCACTTGGGAGAAAGTTGTGGCATTCTGCTTCCATATAGATTACCTGTTGTTGAGAAGGCAGGAAAGGACAGGAGCTGGTTGGAGGGACACAGGAAACCCAGGGTGGAAAGAGGGAGCGTGCTGTTACCTTATAGGGATTGCAACTAGTGTCACATAACAATATGTGTATAAATTTTTGTGTGAGAAATTAACT